GTATTAGGGGAGGTCGGGATCGACAAGGACGGCCTCCATTTGGCAGTTCTAATGAACCTCCAAAGTTGATATTTACTGCTGGTGGTAAGCAGCTCAACAAGCATTTGACTATCTATCAGGCCATTCAAAGACAGCTTGTGTTGGATGAGGATGATGATGAGAGATATGCTGGTAGTGATTTTATATCTAGTGATGGAAGCAGGCTGTGGAGTGATATCTACACAATCACATATCAGAGGGCGGACAGCCAAGCTGACCGAACTTCAGTAGGTGGATCAGGTTCTGCTACAGCATCTAAATCTGCTAAATCTGGTTCTTCCAACTCCAACTCTGATCCCCAAATTCATAGAATGTCATTATTAGATAGCATCTTGCAAGGGGAACTTCCTTGTGATCTAGAAAGATCTAATCCTACTTATACTATATTGGCACTGTTGCGTGTTTTGGAGGGTTTGAACCAGCTTGCACGTCGACTGAGAACTCAGATAGTTTCTGACAATTTTGCTGAGGGAAAAATTTTAAGTTTGGATGAGTTGAGTACCCCCTGTCCTATAGTTCCTTACGAGGAATTTATTAATGGTAAGCTCACTCCAAAACTGGCTCGGCAAATACAGGATGCCCTTGCTCTTTGCAGTGGAAGCCTTCCATCATGGTGTTACCAGTTGACAAAGGCATGCCCCTTTTTATTTCCTTTTGAGACACGAAGGCAGTACTTCTATTCAACTGCATTTGGGTTGTCTCGTGCATTATATCGTCTTCAGCAGCAACAGGGTGCTGATGGCCATGGATCAACTAATGAAAGAGAGGTGAGGGTTGGGAGATTACAACGCCAGAAAGTTCGTGTCTCCCGAAACCGCATTTTAGATTCTGCTGCAAAAGTAATGGAGATGTATTCTAGCCAAAAAGCTGTGCTTGAAGTTGAATATTTTGGAGAAGTTGGCACTGGATTGGGTCCAACCTTGGAGTTCTATACACTTTTAAGTCATGACTTGCAAAAGGTTGGACTTGGAATGTGGAGGTCGAATTCTACATGGGATAAGTCAATAATGGAAATTGATGGAGATGAAGAGAAAAATGGAAAACCTGCTGGTTCTGCTACTACTGAGGGAGACATAATCCAAGCTCCTCTGGGGTTGTTCCCTCGACCTTGGCCACCAAATGCTGATGCTTCTGAAGGTAGCCAGTTTTTCAAAGTGATCGAATATTTCCGGCTGGTTGGGCGTGTGATGGCAAAAGCTCTTCAAGATGGACGGCTTTTAGATCTTCCTTTGTCAACATCATTTTATAAACTTGTGCTCAGTCAAGTAAGCTGATTGCATTGTTTAATTTGTGGAACATCTTTAATCTTCTTCAATCTTAGGTCGCATATTTGCATGCCTATAAAATTCCTACCATTGCCATAAGGATCTTTTACCTTTCTGGCTAAAGATGCATTTTATAAACCATGGCAGGAACTTGATTTGCATGATATTCTGTCTTTTGACGCTGAGTTTGGGAAAATTTTGCTAGAATTGCATTTTCTTGTTCATCGAAAGCAATATCTAGAATCAATGGGTGATGACAGTAGTGATGCGATTGCTGATTTACACTTCCGTGGGGCCCCGATAGAAGATCTCTGTTTGGATTTTACACTTCCAGGCTATCCAGACTACATATTGAAGCCAGGGGATGAAACTGTATATCTGCAGCTTCTCATTCTTTTCCCTCCACCTCTTTTTTTGTCAATAAATTATTCTAACATTCTGTTAAATATATCAGGTTGATATCAATAACTTAGAAGAATACATATCCTTGGTGGTTGATGCAACTGTCAAGGCTGGAATTATGCGGCAAGTGGAGGCATTTAGGGCTGGATTCAATCAGGTCAAGTGGCTTTCTTTATTCTGAGTTTTCTTGACTAATGAAAAGTTGATGTTCATCGTGGATTTCCTTTTTAATCACTTGCATTAAGGAGCTATTTTTGGGATTCATTGCAATGTTAATATATCTGTTATATGACAAGCAGGTTTTTGATATTGCATCATTGCAAATATTTACTCCCCAAGAGTTGGACTATTTGCTGTGTGGTCGCAGAGAGTTGTGGGAGGTAATTTGACACTTGGATTGTGTGCTAACTACTTTGATTAGAACTGGTTGTCCACTTTGATTTTAACAATATAACTTCTAATTAAGCAGGCTGAGACACTTGCTGATCACATAAAGTTTGATCATGGATATACTGCAAAGAGCCCTGCAATCTTAAATGTATGTTTCTTTCATAAGACTCTCATTTGAGTGTTTTGAAATCTATATTTGATCCATAATTATGTTTGGTTTATGATTTCATAGTTACTTGAAATTATGGGAGAATTTACACCAGAGCAGCAGCGGGCCTTCTGCCAATTTGTTACTGGTGCTCCGAGACTTCCACCTGGTGGTCTGGCAGTGCTGAATCCAAAGCTGACAATTGTTAGAAAGGTAACCAGAGTTACATTGAAAAAGTTTCTATCAATGTTTCTTCTCTTTTTACATTGAGTAGATATGTGACATCCTGCGTCAATTTTTTTAAGATGATTTTGAAAGTCTAGTGGAAATGGGAATATTACATATTGATTTATGCCAATTTTTAAAGTGTGTATGAAGATTATGTCTTCTTTACATGCGCGGGCTTTAATATTTTTAAAATTGCTGCTAAAGAGAGAATTGTACTTTGAATGCTATGGCCAATGTTCTGATTTAGGCCAAAGCATCTTTTATTTTATTTATCTCTAAAAATAATCCTGTTATTCTCTCTATGGTGTATGGCCAAGGCAGCAATGTAATTTCTGTTAATGGTGTCTGTTCTAATCATTATTGCTTTTATTGTTATGATTATTTTTAGGTTCACGGTAAATGTTTCATTCAGCTCTGTCTAGAGCTCTTCTTGTTTGCTATGTTCATGGTTCTAATTCTTATCTGTCTGAAACCTGAATGCAGCATTCTTCTTCCACAAGTGCTGCTGCCTCCAATGGAACTGGACCCTCAGAATCAGCAGATGATGACTTGCCCAGTGTCATGACTTGTGCTAATTACTTGAAGCTTCCTCCATATTCTACCAAGGTACGATTAGTGTGATTTTTTTTTTTATGGTTATCCTTGTACTATTTTCATCCATATCCTTTTGCATTATATTTCCTCATTGACAACTGCTGTCTGGGCAGGAAATTATGTACAAGAAATTGCTATATGCAATTAACGAAGGGCAAGGATCTTTTGATTTATCATGAGTTGCAAGACTAACCAAAACAGACCTGTGTCAATTTTTTTCGGTGTTTCAAAGTGGCATATTATTTTTGCTCAAATAATGGCTTCTCTTCACTGCTCTTCCATACTAATGGCATTGACGAGGTCCGTTACTGCATGAATGGTGGACCATCTGTTCATACTTTGTGTTCATAGCCCTCGAAATTCTGGTTAAATGATTGCAAGTTTCTTCTCTTTTTTAACCCCCCAGTTGTGTGCATTTTTTGTTCAACTTTTTGATCAGGTGAAGCGGGACTATATGCAGAAGCACAAAAGAATTTGAAAGGAGGATTTTGTGGAGCACTGTTGCAGCTGCTAGAGCTTTGTATATAAATAGGAATTTATATATATATATATATATATTTATATATGCATTTTTTTTTTTTGTTTGACAATTTATTGGCTGGCAAGATATATTATATATATGGGCGCAAATGGTGGAAGGAAATGAATAAATGATGAAATTGTTATGCCATTTTCCCTAGTTCAATCTTTATTTAATTATTACAATGCTTTTATTCTTGTTCCCCTATATGAAAATAGGATTACATTCCTTCAATGCATCATTCTTGTTCGTTGACGTACCCGTAAGAGTTCTATTAAAACATGGAATTTGGGGCTACTAAAGCTTTCTGAAGCCAATATTTTCTTATCCCTCGTCTCAATCAACTCTTATACTTTGTTTGGTTAGTAAAATCCCATTGAAGAATATATCTTTTTAATTAAGAAATAGGTAAAATTCTACTTTAATCCCCCCAATGTTTATTATTTTGTCCCCATTTTGTGCATTTATACATTGATATGGTAACTTTTTTATTTTGGCCAGTCTTTAATACCGTAAATTTGTTAACCCTTTTAGTTTTAAAACTCGTTATATTAATTTTATTCTCTTATAGGTTTTTATCTAGTTATTATGTATTAGACTATTATTGTACACAATATTGTTAATTAACTTGTTAACTTACTAGTTTTAAAATTATGCATAATAGTACATAATTTTTAAATCGATAACTTTATTCTCAATTAGGCAAATATATATATTAACATCAATCATGGTGTGTCAACTATTTTATTTGTATGCTAATAATAGCAGAACAATTTAAGAAAGTTAAATTATTATAATATTTAGACAAAATTAATTGCTCCTTGAAGTTTACTTTTTTTTTCTTTTATTTTCTATAATCCTTTAAACTTTTTTTTTATACCAAAAAATTTAATGAGAAGGGAGGCTTTCCTAATCAAGGACCACCTTTAACTTCTTTTAAATGTACGCAATCCCATGCTAGTCTTAATTATTAGTTAGGCTTTGATTATTCATTTTTTCTTTTGATGTTGAGATATTAATTTTTATACAATACTTTACATATATGCAATATGAATTATGAATTTTGAAATTTAAAAATTGTTTTACTTAATTCAAAATTATCCATTATAATGTAATTACATTCATTATATTTTGAATTTATTAGTATCTCATATGCTATTTTTTTTCTTTTACATTAATCATATAAATGTATAATATATTTTAGGCCCTCCCAACGAAAAATTTTGGCTTTACCCCTCATTCTATGCCTTTCTTTGCCCAAAGATTGCAAAATTTCGACTATTGGCCAACATCTTTGTCTGGGTTTACAATACTAGACTAGAACATGTGTACCAAACAAACTTTTTCTTTTTGTTTGCATAAATGCAAGATAAGAAAAAGAAAAATGCTTGAAGAATAAATTGATTTTGGAAATTGCACAATCATCCCGTTGCAAATTTACGGTTAAGAAAAACAAAGAAAGTTGAATAGTAATTTTGACTTGTCCAAAGCACTCTTGTCTCTACCTAGAAAAGGAAATGAGCTAGCTCAAGAAATTCTCAAGCTTAATTCAAGCTCTAGGACTAGTGTTTATAAGCACATTTCACTTGGACGGCCAAAGCCTTCTTCATCTCTGGACATGCATCATTTTTATTGTCAAAAAGCACGCTGTCCAGTGGAATTTCGCAGCTGGTTTTTCCCAAGCAAAACTGTTCAAACACAAGCGTCTTGTAAGAAATACTCAACTGATAACAGGTAACATGCTGGGAATGGAGCTTACCTTTTCAACAACTTCCTTGGATACGGGAGACGAGCAATTTCCAACAAAGTAGCCTCCACAAGCACCAAAAGGATCACCAAAGCTAGCAAACTCTACGGCAACGATTTGTTTCTGGTTTGGACATGTCAATGCAGACATTGGGTTCAAATCATTCACCTTGGCTCTGAAGTTACCACCTTTGCTTTCAAATAATCTCACAGATGGTGGATGATATTCGGTTACGTAACTGCATATTGTATCCCTATCAACTAGTAGTATCTCAACATCTTTAGGATCACCTCCCTCTTCCTCAAATATAACAATAAGATTCTGCTTTGGCTTCAGGCACGATCTTGGGATTTGGTACCTAAATTAGAGGCATAAATGAAAAGAATTTTAGTTTGGTTTTACTGATGAAGATATCTTTCTGGTTATAGTTCAGTGCTTATGGTTTACATACTCGGATTGAGTAGGCTGTAGAAGTGGAGAGAGGTAAGACATCCAATATCGGCCAATGCTTTGACCATTGATCCAGACCATACCTTTCCCCATACCAGTCATCCTGATAGCTAATGGATTGTCTCCTTCAGGTGCATCAAAATATCCCTGAGCAACAAGAAAATTTCAGTTTTTGCAAAACATGCTTGATAGATGAACCTGTTTAAATCTTATTCACTCTCAATTGGAGTTACCATTTATCATTCATATGTCAACCATTTGTGTTTTAATTATGAATATTAATTTGATACATCTAGAAAGAATTTTTCAAGCATTCCTAACATTGAAATTTCCCAGGAATTACCTTGTACCATGTTAAAGCTTCTCCTCCACCTGGCTTTGTCCACTCTACCGTCTTTGAGCCTTTCTCAGTATATATTTGCTTCTTTTCTCCTACCAGTCCAACCTGAAATTACAGTTACCGTATCTGGTTAATTAGCCACCATCAACTATTGCTTGTGTGATACTATAGAAAGTCTAATTCCACTGATACCTGATGCCCCCAGCCATTTAGTGATACGTCAAGTGTTCCAGTGTTCAAACCCAGGATGTTGATAGAACGAGGCCCAGCAAATCTGTGCTCCATGTAGGCTCCGCTATCCTTGATTAATAAAGAAAATCTCATCAGTAGCTGCTCTAAATTTCATTCAAGCCCAAAAGTACTTAAGTGGCAAAAGCCTTACTGGAAGTCCCACTAAAACACCCAAGAGAGCAATATTGTTAGTCCCTTCTACGAACTTTACAGGTTTCTGGAAGACAAAGCTCTTCTCAACTTTGCTCCCATGAGCGGTACCTAAGAAAAAACACTAATATTAGGTAATATAACCATGCAAAAGAAGTTCTCAAAGCTATATAATTCTGTTGCTTGGAATGTATGCAATGCTGCACTTACCTATGTATTCGCCATTTACAAAGGCCTGGATTCCATGGCCAAGACTTGCAACCCTTAAAACTGGGAAGATTTCTTTTTTCATTGGTAAGTCACGTCGATTCAATTCAATTCTGCAGCAAGAATTTCATACACAAGTCAAATTCAGACAGTAAGCAGAAACCCCTGGTAACTTCTGACAGATAAAATCAATTAAATCTGCTTTATCTTTGTGTTTTTACCTAGTCGTATACCAAGCATAGTCCGTTGTGTCTTTGGTCAATTCATAAAGCTCCATTGGCTCCTTGGTCCTATGTCCAGCTTGAGTAGGAGGGACTTCCTTGTATATCTCCCAGTTAAAGTTCTTGTTTGCAATTGCTGATCTTACAAAATTTCTTGTGTTATGTTGTGCTGTGATCTGCGTTCAATAATCAAGATAAGTTATTTACAAGCTCTAAAGCACAAGAAAACACGAGGCAACTTGTAGTTACTAGAATTGGAGATATCAAAATTCAGACATATAAAGGGTCAGGAATTTGGTTTACCATGTGAGTGTTGAAAATCACGGTCTTGCAGTCAGGGAGGATACTAATGGAGCGAGCTGGCAGGCCATATTCTTGACCCCTGAAATGGATTGTTTGTGCTTTCTTGGTGTCATTGTTGGCCAAGAAAGCTGCACAGTTTGAAGTTCCAGGTTGCTCCCAGATTCGAACCTGCATTTCACAATAATCGCTTAACTCTTGGTAACCATATCGATTCCTCTGACTGAGTCCACTCAATTAGTCTAGATAGATGCTTACCTCTTGGTCTGGACCCAACTTTTCGACAACAGGAGACCCCCAAAAAAGAGCCTTCTTGCACAAATTTAGGGCCTTGTGAACGTCCTTGAGGTGACCCCATTTTGGGTCCCTTTGCAAACCTACAACATTCAGAACATGTGAAATTAGCTGTACTATAGAGGACTTCAATCCAAAGATAATCAGATAACAATATTCTTATTCCCACCATATTCATCAAGAGGGGCTTCGTCATAGTAACGAGTTGTTGTAAAAGCAGCGCTTGTTCTGCCATAATTTGTTCCACCATGGTACTGCAAACACAAAAATAACAGTGAGCTATGCCTAAAAGGAGTGTCATTTGAAAAGAACTAAAGCTGGAGAAGACAGCCAAGCATCTTCCTACCATATAGTAGTTGACCAGAGTACCCTTTTTTGAGACGAAGCGAGCGACCGAGTATGCTAAATCTTCTGCTGACCTTTGAGATGGTGGATCTCCGAATACTCTATACCTGAATTGTTAAAAACACATGTAAACAGCCTCAACATTAGCCCATATACACAACAATATGCTCACCAGAGAACATCTTCAATAATATCATACTTACTGCGCAGTCCAGTTCTCGGTCCACAGTGAAGGCTTGTTGGGCCTATTTGGACCTGTGAAAGTATCTCCACAATGTCTTCCATTGCATGTATTGATCTGAACGATGAAGTTTATATCACTGCTTTGTTATGCAAAATAAACACGTTTTCTATCTTTCATAGATTTATGTCAAAGTTCTTGTAGTTAATGATAAACAAACATGCCCCAGGATGGAGAATGTCCAATGGTCTCTTCAAAGCAAGAAAATTACTTGTACATCAAGAATTTATCAGGTAAACTTACAATTGGATCTGGGGCATCTCTCTGCTTGCACATGATCCATGGGACTCCTGTGTCCAACGCAACGGCCATCTTTCCAGCCCACTGAACATAAATGTCTCCATGTTCTCTGAATGCTAGTTGAATGGTGTTGTACTCATTCTCGATCTGTAAAATTTATAAGATATCAAACTTAGAATAAATGATATTAGTACTGATCTAGGTTTTAGGAGGAGAAGAGTCTATCAACCAAACCTGTGATAAAATGATAGGGCCTCCTTGTGGAGCAAACAACTTCTCCTCCTTCATTTTGTCAATAATCATTGTAACGAACTTTTTCATGTGGTACTGCACATGGTAAAATTTTTACTCGAATAAAATCTTGTATCGCTTGTATATATAGAAGAACGTTCTCACCAAGTCGATCTACAAGATATATTACCTTAAATGGTTCATTATTAGAACGAAATGTGATGTTGGGGACCTCTCTTAGCCAGTATGGTAATCCTCTGAATTAAGTTCACAATGAAAAACTCCATTGTTAAGCAGATAGAGGATTCTATAAGAATGGAAAGAATATGAGAATTTTAAATATTTACCCATGGTTCCATTCAGCCTGGATAAACGGGCCAACCCTGAGAATTGCATACATTTTATTCTCAGCAATCATCTTGATGAACTTCACCAAGTCATATTCTCCTTCAAAATTGAACTGGCGCTGAACTGGTTCATGACCGTTCCAGAAAACATACGTCTCAATCACGTTCAGACCTCCTTGTTTAGCTTTTCTGAGGATGTCGGGCCAGACCTGAACCCAATTCAACAAAATAAAGTTAGTTCTAAACACATCCATCAAATCAAAAGACTTTCAGAAATCAACCGGTGCTTAAAAAAAAAAAAAAACACCATACAGCTGGGGTGCTGCGAGGGTAATGAATGGATCCCGAAAAGAGAAGCTCTCTTTTGCCATTGACAATCAAAGACCTTCCATCATATGTCACGCCCAGATTTGCCTTACCTTCAGCCTTAATTTCATCTCCATCTTCATCATCTTTCTTGTCATGTGCAATGCTGGAAGTAACCAGAAAGGTCGACAAAAGGGTTATCAAAAGTACACGTCTTGATACCGCCATTGCTATTTCACTAGAAAAATTCTTCCTTTTATTATTATTATTATTTTTGGTTTTATGTCTTAGACAAAATAGAAAAAAATTTTATTGCAGAAACCAGAACTAATCGAGCCTATCTACTTTGGGAGCCTTTACCTTAAAAGGGGAGCTCAAATGACAATAACTTGGACAGACAATGATATAGGAGAAAGACATGGTGAACGTAAGGTGCTGCATGAAATTTCGGATTCGCGTATGTCATATTACTATTTTTAACCTTTGAATGTTTAAGATTTCCTATTTTTCTTGAGGAAATTTGCTATTCTTGGAAGAATCTGAATTTGGAGGGAGATAGCCGCGTCAATGGCTATGTGTGTGTATCTTAACAGACACTATTAATCTGTTGCGATTATGAAGCCAACCAATATAAATATTTATATATATATATATATGTTTTTTTTTTTTTGAGCATGTAAAATTTGCTTTTAATCATTGACATTGTAATTTTAATTAAAGAACTATAAATTCCTATTTAATTGTGAAAAAATATATTCTCATTATTAATCAAATATTATAAATCCAACATTTAATAACATATCATTTGCAATTAATACATTATAATTAATCAATTATAATTTTGAATTATGTAAGGTTCATTAAAATATTATATACACCAAATTTCAATTTTTTTATTTCTCAAACAAATTAAATACTCATTATTATATCTTTCTTAAATTATTTACAAAATAAATCATAATCAACTTTTTAATTTTTATATTAAAATTTTAAATTTTTAATTAATAAATTTATTTACAAATCATTGATAGCAATTGAGATGATCATGCATATAAAAATATTTGAATTTTTTTTTCAAATTCATTGTATTAACATTTTCAATATATTTGAATCTTTTACTTTTGCTTTGTTTTTAAATGATAATAATTTATATATGATGTAATTATTTTATTATATATTTCTTATTTTTCTCAAATTCTCTTTTATAATTTTTGATTTTATAATATATTAAAATATTATTATAAATTAAAATCATACATCTAACCAGCTTAAATTTAGTATATATTTATAACTATATTAATACTTAATTACAATGTTCAGAGATTAAAAGTATATAAGAACAAATGAATTTGTTTTCAAAATAAATTAATGAGAATTGTAACTTAAATTTACTCAACTCTTTTAAGAAATGAATTATGATATGTTGAGATTTTGTTTTTATCGCACGTGAATTTAATAATTTAAAATATGATATTATGATATAATATAAAAATAATATAAATAAAAAAATAAAAGTAATATAATTTAAAATTTAATAAAATTATAAATAAATTTAAAAAATGTATATTTTATATTTTTATATTAACATAAATTATAATATATAATTTTTATATAAAATATAATATAAATATAATATTTTACATAGCATGATAATTCGAATTGCCAAATATGATAACTAAGTAAATCGCTGCGTTTCGTATAGGCTAAATGAAGTTAACGGCGAATCGCGAGCCTCTTTTTCATTTCCCTCCAAAGCACCTTTCAAGACTCCCTCCAGAAAACCAAAGAAAAAAGTAACTCTTTTTTCCAAATTATTTCATTCCATTTGATAAAAGAGAGCTTCAAAATCGTTTCTTTTTACTTAGAAAAAGCGACTAGATCTGTTTCACTCGAAGGAGATTTACACATGACAAGTCACGAAGACGATCTGGATCTCCTTCTCTCTCTCCAAGACAGGGTTTTGGAAACTCCTCCAGCTTCCCCTTCAAATCCTCGCTCTCGTTCTCCAGGTAAACCCATGCACGTTTTCTCATCAGTCAAAAATTTTCCACTATTTTTCTCATGGCTGATTTGCCTTTGGATTCGCTCTTTAAAAAACCCTTTCTGGGTATCTTTTATTTTCCCCTAATTGCTTCTAAGTTTGTGCCCCTGCCTCGGCATTTCCCAATTTCCTTTTATTTGCATATTTCAGATATGGGTTTTGCTTATTTATTTTTCTTGCTTCCAAAATTGATAATGGGTATCTCTCAGTTTCTTCTTATACAAAATTTTGATGATGGGTTTCCCTCAGTTTTTCTTACAAGTTTGTTAGCCTAAATTTGTAGGATACCTATCAGATGATGGATCGCCAAGGCAAAGAAGGAAGACCGACTTGTCTGTCTTTAAGAATGTTGTCGAGGATTGCCTTGATTATGAACCCAAACCGGTTGAGAGACCTGCCAAGTCAAAGCCAAAGAGTTCAAATGATGTTCTAGTTGAGAAGTTTTCAGGTTTGCGTATAAGGTGAAACCAACTGCAAATCCAATTCTTCTACAATAGCTTAATGATGACTTGGATTGAATTTGGTGTCTTTTCTGATTATTGGAGGCAAAAACATTCTTAAAATATTAGTTAAAAGACTTCACCTTTTTTATGCCTATTTTCTCTGTAAACAAGCCAAATGTACTGAAGGGAAGTATCGTGACAGGTTCCTGCTAGTACTTTTTTCATGTTTAGTTTGTGCTTTTCTTCTGTTTTCAGGAAGCAATTGGTCAGCCCTTCAGAGCTAAGTGAGCGCTTGTCTGATATTCGTTTCGTTCGGCTATCAACTATAAAGTATGTTATTTTACTTCTTCTGCTTGCAATATAAGCTTTTATTGCTAGATGATTAAAATTTGGAAGATGTTTTCTTGCTTTTTGGATGTTAAGTTCCCGTCAAGTTTGTTTTTACCTGAATATTACTTGCAAAGTTCTGTATGAAGCTTAGTTAGATATAAACTGCAATGTGGTAGGTGACTAGATATTTTGGCTTTTTACAGGAATTTGTTGGTGGGAGACACTCTTTATGGATGTTGGGCAACCATAGGAGTGTTGACTGAAAAGGGGAATCCAAAGACTAGCTCTATCGGGCAAAGCTATAGCATATGGAAAATTGGGTGTTTAGATGAAAATACTGTTTCTCTATTCTTGTTTGGAGATGCTTATCAGCAGAACTGTAAGGAGCAGGCTGGAACTGTTTTTGCATTGTTCGGTTGCACCGTACGCAAAGATGCCAAGGTATCAATTTGTCATATGTTAATTGGATCATGCTGGGTACTCTTCATGAAGAAATTAATACCTTCTGTATCATTTTGTAGGGATCGGGATTTTCCTTGAGTGTCACTGCACCCAACCAAATTCTAAAGATTGGCGCTTCGGCTGACTATGGCGTTTGCAAGGGGAAAAGAAAGGATGGAATGGCTTGCACACTTGTCATAAATAAGTATGCTTTCTTCCTTAAGGTTCTTTTGTTTTATTGACTGTCCGTGCACAATGGGTCTCATGTACTCTAACTGATCAAGAAAAGGGATTGAGAGAAACATCTATTTTATAATAAATGTTATATATTAAATGATTAATTTTGAGTGATAGAAGAGTAACAAGCTCCTCTGCATCTGATTCAGGCCTTTATTTCTGGTAAAAAAATGGCTGAAAGGAAAAATGATTTGAATGGTGCTACTAGGCTTTCCTAACGAATGATTATGGTTTCTCCAACTATGCTTTCATCATCAACAATCTATGATTTTAAACTTCCCTGCAATATCAGTCATTACCTTGTTTGCAGTTTGCTTGTAGTGCATGGTGTCTAACTGCCATGTCAGAAGAACAGAAAATGCTTAACACTTGTAAAATTGTTGTTGATAGCTTCAAGTCAGAGGAGTCTGGTTTTTGGTGAATTATGTGGTTAAGCAAGAAGTAAAGAAAGCTGATTCTTCTTGAGAAAATCTTGGATACAAATTAGATGTGAAATCATGACTTAATTCTTTATTTAGTTTGTTTTTTAAAATATTTCATAGCTTTCTTATGTTTTTTCATCAATGCAATTTGGTTTTTTATGTTTTTTTCATGCAGCTAGTTAAACAACTACCTAATCAATTGAATATGAGTCTTTGCGTTATCCAGTTTTCTTTTTATGTTCATCAATGTAATTTATCTCTTTATATTTTAACTTTTAGCCATTCTGTTATCTCAGACATCAAGGTGCTTACTGCCAATATCACAAATTGGTACGCATTATTCATCTTTATCTTGTTTGACCAACTCCTTGGGATTTGGAAGTAAATCACCTCCTGATAACTCTCTTCTGTTATATTCTGTAGAAAAATTCAGAAAGATATTCCACAAGGCGAACTGAGCTAATGGGAGGGTAGGTGATCAATGATCCATGTCATTTTTGAGCCCTCGTGCTATCAAATTAAATTGCTCACTTCATTCCTTTTTTAATTCTCATAAGTGACAATTTCCTTTTTCTAATCTTACAGAAACTTGACAACAGCATTTAGAAATCCTCTTAGATCAGAAGGAATATATCTGGTTGATCCTCTATCTGATAGAACAAACTTGAAAAAGCCCACAAAGCCAGTCAAACTACTGTCTGTAGAAGCACTCAAACAGGCATTAAGGTATATAATCAATAGCATAAATTATATCTCTGCAACTACAATCACATTTAAAAATAGAATAAAATAGAGAAACCACTGATTAGTTTGAGTTGTAATTGAATGAGCAGAAATGGAGATAAGGTGACAACAAATAGACACTCACAAGGGATAAGATTTCTTAATGCAGTTACAGGTGTTGGATTAGAAACCCTCTCTGCTCATGCTGGTTGCAAATCTATGCAATATCCTGCAACCTGTCATTGATAATTACGTTGTAAATGTAGGGGAAATGAGTTCCAAATTTGCAAATGGAGCATCTAAAATGTCTGTTCAAAAAATTGTTGGCTCAGAGAAGAGGTAAATCATACATTTTCTCTCTTTCTCGGTAATTGTAATTTTTGTTCTTCTTTCCATTTACTTTAAAGATTCATCCATCTATGCTCAGGAAAGTATCTGCTGTAAAACAAGAAATATCTCTACAAAGAAACAAACAGCTGGATTCAAAAAGGAGGAAATTTGAGCAGGGGCAAACTTTGGAGGAAAAATGGAATCAGCGTTGGAAAATTGATTGACCTAGATATTTTTGGCTTGGATGAAGAGGCTTGAGTTGAGTACTCCATGGTCATATTCAGCGCTTTGGTGCATTGATTGATATAAACAATCCTTTGGCTTGAGTACTCCATACCCCCATAGTACGCTGCAGAGTTGGCAATTCAGGGACATGAACAATTGAGTTTCTAATTCTTGTATTCTGAGGTCAGCGGCTCTTTAACCTATAGTTCTCAAGCTTAAGGTATCTAGACACAAGTTGGATGCCCAAGTGATTTTCATTTCTTTGAACAGCAATTAATTAAGTTTTTGTTTCTTAATTCATTACTTCTTCGATTGAAAATTGATGTTTCTAGGCACTATATTTTGTACACTTAATAGGTTATTCTCACTTGGAAGTCTATCATAAAACTCAGAATCTAATCTAACATGATTTTTCTGGGAACCAAATCGATGTACACAGTTAGACAGTCTTTCAAGGCTTTAAGCATGAACTTTAGGGTATCAAAATCAAAATATGATCCATAAATAAGGAAAGAATCTGGGGTAGTAAGGGAAATTGATAGCAGGGCTGATTGGTAGGAACAAACAAGTAGGGGACACGGCATCTCAGGACAGTGACAGATACAATGATGTTGAAATTGACGCGAGAGAGTAGTAGGAAGTTGGTTATCCATGCACATGGAGTTGGTGGCAACCGGCCCATGTGCTTTGAGAATTTTAATGTGTCTTTATAGTATACTGTTAGTTGGCCTAATTCCATTTTTCAGACGTTTTGGAATATCATTAAAAATCACAAGAACAACACTTCGCCCACTAAGTATCCATACAACAACACCCTTTTCAATCCAAAAATTATAAAGAAAAAAAAATGCCACCTCCCCTTTCCTTGAGCCAGGCAATTTTTCTAGGTGTTGGACTAAAGAAACTAGGATTTAAATGAGGTTTTCAAACTGTGAAAACAAATGAAAGAATGGGTCCTGGCCTGGTCCCTGAAGTAACTAATTGTTTGCGACCTTAAAGCATTGGCCGAAACAGTGAATATTGATGATGCAGCTTTGTTGGGATGTCGCAGTTGATATAAAATCTCAAGTGTTGCAGGTGATTGGGAGCCTTTAACCAACTTAACAACCACCATTAACGATTTAGCTGGTTTTCAGTTGATTGAATTCAATGTGATGGCTGATGCGTCAGGAAATAGAACAAGGTTCATACTAATTTTAGTTGCTCTACTCTTGGGATCCAAGTCTCTCTCATCTCTACGATTTTCCCCCCACGTTTTTATTTTACTTCAACTTTACTTCATTAAGAAGGGAAACTCTCGCCCTACATGGTTACATCAAAGAAAAATTTCACAACTTGCTATATTATTTTTGATGGTTGCCCAAGCAATAGAGTTTGATTTGACCATACACAAAATTAAAAATGTCATGAGAATTCTCCAACTATATATTATGCTTTTCGTTACTTGTTAAACATTGTCAATGATTTTTTTTTTTTATTATTTTGAAAAAAAACATCGATTTTAATGTTTTAAAGTACAAATCTAGAAGTACAAGTTTACGTACAAAAAAAAGGAAAATTACTTCTTAACATTTGTTATCTCAAAAAAAAAATCTTAACTTGGATGATATACGTATATATATACACACACTATTAATTAATCTTTTTTTTTTTTTTGTTCACCGTGGAATTCAAAATCTATAATTTTATTCATAGGGACCAAAATGTACAGAGAGTGGGAGGAAGATTTGGTGTAATAATTATATATTCAAAGGTTATTATTAATAAGATTTTATTCGACTCTAATCTTCCTCAAATTTTTTTAATTATTATTAAATAAAAGTCTACAACATTACTTAATTCAGAATTAAAAAAATGAACTTCGCGGTTCACATGCAAATTACGCATGTTGCTCCATTTTTCTTGCTATTTATTTATGTCTTAATCACCACCAAATTTCTTCTAATAAGATATGAATGCCCCAATATAAATCTTCTTTCTTTTTAATAATTCACCTATATATTTTTCTAATCCACATTGATTTATTTTTAATAATTTTATGCACGATTAATTTTTTAACAAGTGGATTGATATTTTTATTGTTTTGGTCTATAATTTTTTATATATATTTAACTGTTAAATTTTTTATATCAATATATAATTAAATATTTTTAATAAAAAATTGGATATTCGCATCAAAAGTTCAAAACTAAATAAAAAAATATATATTAATAGCAGTGGTAATATTGTGATAAAATGAAAAATGAAAAATAGAAGTGAAGAAAGGGCAAGGTGGGTCTGATGTTACCATGTTAGAACTAGAAATTTGGGGCCGGGTTTAAGGCGTTCCTCGTTATAGCTGTCCAAGAGCTGTCTTTCCTTTCCTCCCCCAGTTCTTCTCTCTTTCTTTCCACCTTTTGCTTTCCTTCCGACAATGTCTTTCAGTTTACATAGCTCTCAACTTCTTTCTCCCAACTCAACATAAAGCAATAATAATAAAACAATAAAATAATAATAATAATGTCCTACCTTAACAACAGCTAGACTTGGTGTTGCTTTTCCGCTGTTTGGATTTGGACAACAAACAAGGAAAGAAATAGCCGGAAGGAGACGAAGAACAGCTCTAACTGTACTTTATTTTTGCTGGTTACACGTGGTGTAAAAATGAGTGCTTCCAGGTTCATAAAATGCGTCACAGTCGGTGACGGTGCCGTCGGCAAGACTTGCATGCTCATCTCCTATACCAGCAATACTTTCCCTACTGTAAGTTTAAAAAAAAACCATCTTTTTTTTTTGTCTTTTTAGGGTTTCTCTTTTCTGTTTGATCCCTGAGAAAGTTGACCCTTCTTGGTACTGAAGAAAGAAGAACAGAATGTTTTTGACTTGAGTTTTCATGGGTTTTTTTTTACATTTTTGTTTCCCGTATTTTCTTGGCAACTAAACGGTAACTTTGCTGTTTTTTTAGGTCAATGTGACTTTTTTCACTAAGATGGGTTCATTATTGGATTTTTGTTTCTCTTTTCTCATTGATTATGCTTATCTTTGGAATTTTGAATTTGGTATATAAGATTGTTCTGAATAATTGAATCATTCTTCAAAAATTGTGTTCAAACGAGCAATTTCTTGGGGATTTTCGTTGCAAAAACTTGCTGAAATTTATTGCTTTTTATAGTTTATAACTTTGTCATTATTTGGTTTGTTTTAGTTTTGATGCATCATCTTGGTAAAAATAATGCTTACCATTTTAGGCTTTCATGTTACTTTGCAAATTAAGGTTAAAACTAGAAATTTCTCCAGATTTCTGCTAGAAACAAAGGAAAGAAAACAAATTGTTATATCTGAAACTATTGCTGGTAAAAAGTTCCATTTAGAGTTTTTTTATGATAGGTGCTTTCATCAGTTCATGAGTCTGAATCTTGGGTGATGGTCATGATATTGGTTTTTTGTCCTTTTCATTGGTGTAAGAACAATGCTTGTGCTAGAATTTTCTCCTTGTGCTTAACTTTACCCATAGAGTTGATTGATGCTAGTTTTGTAATCATGATTGTCTAGTTCTTGCTTCATTTTTACGATTATTTTACCATGATTTTTAGAGAGGGTGATTATAACGTTTTCCCCCCATCCTCTAAAATGTCTTGTGAAACAGGATTATGTACCAACTGTTTTTGACAACTTTAGTGCAAATGTGGTTGTGGATGGGAACACTGTTAATTTGGGATTGTGGGATACTGCTGGTAAGTCTCAGTTCCATACTTTTTCCTAATTTGTGTTTTAGAATGTTTATTTTGGTAGTTTTGATTTGTATATATATATATATATATTTTTTCTGTCATGGAACAGGCCAGGAAGATTACAATAGATTAAGACCTTTGAGCTATCGTGGAGCAGATGTCTTCCTATTGGCATTCTCTCTCATTAGCAAAGCCAGCTATGAAAATGTTGCTAAGAAAGTGGGATTATTATTATTTATAGAAACTTTTCGCCTCCTTTTTAGTGAGATACTTTCTAATTGCTTGATCTGCTAATACATTCTCTGTTTCAAATTCTCAGTGGATTCCTGAATTGAGGCATTATGCTCCGGGTGTTCCAATTGTTCTTGTTGGGACTAAGCTTGGTTAGATTCTACCCCAATATTTATTTTGAATTTATCGATTATCTGTTCCTTTTCATCAGCTCTTAATGCTATAGTTTTCATTTTTTTCCCGTATAATATATTGTGGTTAAGGCTAATGAATCCTATTAAGTTTACAATACTTTTAACACCTTTTTTCCTTCTCATTTTCCCTGCCCGGGTGGGGGGAGTTCATTGCCCTTGAGAGAAGGGAGAAACAGTGTAGTGCCTCAAGATGATTATCCTTTTGTTTGGCATTTGCTCCTGCACCGTAAGATTAGTGTGTCCTACCACCTAAAATCCTGAATGGAGGTTTGTTCTCTATAATGATGGTTCCATCGCAAGACTTTCTTGATAAAGCCACCATAACCTTTACAACTATTGACATTTTCTTTTCAGTCTTCTTGTTAAGAAAAAAAAGAACAATTAGAATTTACACGGTTCAATTACTAGTACCCCTACCGAAACCTTCTACCATTCTGTCTTTATCTAAATGGTGGAGGTTAGTTTCTTTTTCCACATGGATCATTAGCTTGATTTGGAGTAAGGCAAAAATTCCATAGTGGCAGAAACCTGAAACCAGTGCATTCTGACTTTGTCAATTTAGTATGTTTTCTAATTTATTTGAAAGAATGCTTTAACAGGATGGAAACTTACTAGCTAAGTCCTGCAGAAATTATAAATCCTGTTACAATCAGTTACAGTTTGTTATCTGCCAGTAAATTATTTCTCCTAACGAGTCATCGGAAGTAATCATTCTGAATATATTAGAAGCTTGTGGAATAATCTATACGCTCTTATGTCCTCCCCAGCCCCACCCTCCCAGCTGGAGAACCAAAATTGAAACTAAAGTTCCATTGACTATTTGCTCGTTTTAAGGAAATCTTTGGGAATTATAAGAAAGTTATTGTGTTGAACTAATCCTATAAGATGCTGAAGTAGAATATGAACCCAATAACATGTTCATCATCTAAGAGGAAAACATTTTTATACTGGGGCCTACTTTATGTTCTTTCATTTGCAATTGTATTTCTAGGTTTACTTCCATTCCTGTTCATCACTCCATCTATAGCAAGTTAAATTGTCCATATCCCTGTGGCATGAATACATTAATCATCGAGGGAAGAATCCCTTTATGAGTTTCAAAAGAGGGAAAAAAAAATCCTGTGCAAGATGGATAACAAGGAAAATAATAAAGCAACTACCAGTGGAAGCTTACCTTTTTTAAAACTAATGGAAGCACTCCATTTCTCAACCTGCAATTTTCAATTCTGGTCACAATGTTTCCTAATGTTCTTACTAAATATTCCTGGAAATATCCTTTTGAACATTTTTTGAAGTAGATATCGAATCAGTAACTGCTAAATTTATCTTTAGTTGGTCTATGATTTATTAACGGCTGCTAAATTTTCTTATGTAGATCTTCGGGATGATAAGCAGTTCTTCATAGATCATCCTAGTGCTGTACCCATTACCACAGCCCAGGTATTAACAGCTGCTTTACATAGTAATAACAAATTCTGCTGAGTTATTGGCATTGGCTCTGCATGCTGCTATTTGTAGTTCTTGACCAGAGTATTATTTTAGTCAGATCCTAATTTTGATTCTCTATTTTTTTTTTCTTTTTCATGCTGAAAAGGGTGAGGAATTGAGAAAGCTAATTGGAGCACCTGTTTACATTGAATGTAGTTCAAAAACACAGCAGGTACATAAATATTGGGGTAATTTATCTTCAGCCTTTTGTTTTTGAGTCTTGGAAGAGATTTGTGTTAATCATCTCTTGAAATACAGAATGTGAAAGCTGTCTTTGACGAGGCCATCAAGGTGGTTCTCCAGCCTCCAAAGCAGAAGAAGAAAAAGAAGAGAAAGGTACAAAAGGCTTGCTCAATATTGTGATCATGCAAAGAAGAGTTATGAGTACCAGGGTGGATACCATGACCAATTAGCCACTTAATCTGTTAGTCTCTCACCATATATATTATCTCTTCTCATCTTGAGAAAATAGCTCCTTTTGATATGTAGTCTGAACTGACAGAACTAGGGAACTCTCTATTATAAGCATCAAAATATGTGCTTTTGTTCTCCTGGATTGTATTTTAAATTTGTATATATTAATGGTCCTCAATGTGTTTGTTAACAAGCACACTATCCCTTCAGTTTCTTTGGGTTTGGATATGCTTGATCTATCGACTAGAATGCGGAGAACCCCTCCGTAAGAAAAACCAAATTGTTTCCTCTTGTATCTTGTGATGTAATCCGATCTATTACATTTAAAGGAACTTACTAATATATGTCTGTGGTTTTTAAGTTAGTCACGAAACTGTTTTTCACTTGTCTAATTGAGTAATGTTTGTTCCCCTACTTGATCTTACCGCTTTGGTCTTCCATTGTATTTAAGATAGTTAGGGTCATCGGATTACATGAGCTGGAATAAGAGGAAGAGAGTGAGGAAACTAGGGGAAACATGAGACTGAAGACAGACTAACAACGAGAAAGACAGAATATCATGCCCTTGAACCTATTCATGCGTGGATGAATATTGCATCCATATTCTTTTGGAAGATTTTGTTAATCAAATTCTGTGGTGCCTATTAGACCCGTCAACTTCTTAGCTTTCTCAGATTCTCAGCCAAAGAAGTCAGTTTAGCTAAGAAGGAATCTTTTTCCTGTTGGGCGACGTGGGTGGCGTGTAGTTTCCAAGATGCCCTATGGTTTTAGCCGCGGGTTTCATTCTTTGATATTCAAGCCATACCTTCGAGAAGGAGGTTCCATTTAGACCTATAATCCTTGGTTTGTTTGTTGCTGTCATATGGTGCTTTATTCGAAAATGATCACTATCATCATCATGATTAAGTTCTATTTAGGCGTCAAATTTATCCACGGAAAGAGTAAATTCTGTGGAATGAAATTGGTTGACTGAGAAAGTTTAAACCAATTTGGAAACAAATGATTCTCTTTGATCTCATTGAAGAGATAGCATCTTTCTGCTGTAACAAAACGTCAATTATAAGCAGAGATACATGAATCAAGTGATTATTGCTCGGTTTCAGTGGAACGAAAAATATCAATCCTGTAGCACAATATCTTCCAAGTTTTTCTTCTTTTTCTAAATTTATTTATTCTTTACTTGCTAACTTTTTCTCTGGAATTTATACTGTGCCCACTTTCATCAGTATGAAAAGAATTTTGTGGACCTCTTTATCTTTCACACCTCTCTTGCAATTCCTCCATTAAATACACTATCTTCCCTTTGGGGGTCGTCCCTTAGTAATTTTCCTTCATTCCTATTTTCATCTCCCTCTTGAATTCCCATTTCTGAAATATAAGCCTTCTGCATCTGAAATTTTCTTAATGGCGTCAAAAAGAATATTGAAGGAGCTCAAGGACTTGCAGAGAGATCCCCCAACTTCATGCAGTGCAGGTGGATTGATAATAAAAAGAATTAAGTTTTCCTCAGCCTTGGCCATAAATAATAATTCATTCTTGTTTGTAAGGTAATTAACTACTTGATTATGCTGCACTTTCAGGTCCTGTGGCTGAGGATATGTTCCATTGGCAAGCAACTATTATTGGTCCAAATGATAGTCCCTACGCTGGTGGTGTTTTTCTTGTGACAATCCATTTCCCACCTGATTATCCTTTTAAACCTCCCAAGGTCTTCTTTCTTTCACATCTAGTTTTCCACAACAAAGACTAGCCAATCCCAATGACTCTTATCTAACATATTCATCCTAATCTTTTCCAACAATAATTTGTTTTCAGGTTGCCTTCAGGACCAAGGTTTTCCATCCAAACATAAACAGCAATGGCAATATCTGCTTAGACATACTCAAAGAACAATGGAGTCCTGCGCTCACCATATCTAAGGTAGTAAGCTTGCTAATTGATTTGGGCACTGCATAAAAAACGATAATGGATTTCTAAACAACTTGAAAAAAGGGGCGGGGGGGGGGGGGGGTGAAGAAATGAATCTTGAAAACTAAATGCTATATCTACCTACAGGTTTTACTCTCTATATGCTCACTGCTAACGGACCCAAACCCTGATGACCCTCTCGTTCCAGAGATTGCTCATATGTGCAAAACTGACAAATTCAAGTACGAATCTACAGCTCGAAGCTGGACCCAGAAGTATGCCATGGGCTGAACTAGGTGCTACACGTGCGCATCCTTCCTCCTTTGCCTACTAATTTATTGAACTTAGCTTACTTAAGTTTCAGTATTCCAGTTATCAAACAAAAAGAAGTTCATTAATAACGAAAGTTGTGATCAGGCTGTAAGTTCTGATATAACTAAAAGTGCCTCTTTTCTTAGAATAAAACGTCTGGCACTTCTGATCTTATTATACGGCTTTTGTGATGTTTCAACAGTTAATTCTCAAGTAGTTTGTGATGTTTGTGGCCAAAACTAAACACACGTCAACATATTCATCATGAATGAAAGTGTTAGGTAACCATTCATATTGGTAATGCACAAAGACTACCTTTTACTTAACTAGTGGAGCTGCTAAAGATTTTGCAGAAATTCAAGAAATATCATATTTGTAATGTAGCAAGAAAACATAGCTGATTCATGTAATCATCTTAAGATGGCATCTAATAAATTTTAGGTTTAAATTCTAATATTTGTAACTCTTTCTATCCTCAAGTTATGATATCCTTTACATAAAAATTTAGCGAGAAACTTTCTTTCGCTTTTGACTCTTTCCAAATAAACATCATTTTCAGAACATTCTAATTGTTGACTTAATACAAATATAGGTAATTTTTACATGCCTCCACGTTTGCCTAGTTAGCTGCGATGAGAAATTGAGCTTTTAATTGATCTTGATCAAGACGAGGATGTCGTTCATGAAGTCGCTAGACCAAGGTTTGAAGAACGTTTTCAACGTTGAGAACCATGGCAGTCTATTTTCTAAAGTAAAACAGTTGAATCCAGCATAGTTGAGGAAAATTTAATGATCTTTGTTAAAGCTTGTAGATAAATAGGGCTTGGAATTAGACTTTGGAGCCATTTTTATGAGTCCAGGGAAAAAATATACAATGGTTATCAAGATGGGGCATGTCATACATGTTGCATGATTTGATGCTTCATTCTTACACTGAATTTCATCAATCAGAAACCAGTGAGAGGTATAAACTCTGGTCTTTTCTCTATGTTATGATTGTTTCTTATTCAATTTGTATGAAATCGACCTCTCATTGCAGGCTTTTCCTCTTTCTTTGTGGTGGTGTTACTGAAGTTCAACAATATACCAAAATTTCATATATTTAGAACTTAAAAATTTAATCTATTTTATTCATGTAATTATAATTTTTTTTCTCTATTCTCATACTACCATTTCTTTCATATTAAAGAAAAGATTCTGTGTCTTTATCGACACAAAAATGAAAATTATTTTGCTTCTAATTCAAAATATTTTGCCTAATTGAGTACCAACCATATAGTAGTAGTTGGTCCATCAAATTTCATATACATAAACCGAAAAGCTCAACTCATAGATGCTATAATTATACAAGACAGATTGATTGAATCTTATTTTCTATTCCATCATCAACTTGTTGATTAAAATATGCAATTTATGTTATACTTTACAGGAATATTGTAATTTTATATGATCGACTTGTTGATTATAACCATGGGAGAAGGTTAATCAACTTTATAATTTTTTACACTAGAACAAAAAGCAAAAAAATAATAAAAAAAAATGTGGTCACATACTACTTTTTCTAGTTCATTCCTTTCGTCCTCTTCTTTCCATCCACCATGATGGTCGGCCATGACTTTTCTCTTCTTGCATGATTATTATAATATGTAATCGTACCAAGATTCCTTTTGATCTAGTAAAAGCAAGTTCCTTGGGGACCAAAACTTGTTCTGGTCTTTGCTTTTGAATTTTGACCATTTTGAAGCCACCATCGCTAACAATTGTGTTGCTGTAAAGTCGCTTTCTGAAATATTGCATCTGAAATTCTGTTTTATATTACAAAATTTGAGATCAAGCGTGAACCCAAAAAAAAAAAAAAAAAGGCCTATGGTGCTAGCAACATCATTCTTTCCTTCTCAAATAAGAGTATTAATGCACCCTATTAATTAATTAAATCCAATAATAATACTTTCTTCGTTCTAAAATATTTAGAATTTTAAAATTAAAAAAAAATCTTTGATTTTAATATATTTAATATTAAAATTAAAACTTTTCAATAAAATTAAAGTTAAACAAAAAAAAAAAAAAAATTTATTTTAATATTTTATTAATTGATCACGTGAATGGTGACAACCCAATAATAACCATTAATGTTCATGATTTATGATTTTTTTAAAAATTAATTTTTAATTGATTATACGACTACAATAATAATATGATTAAGATCAACGAATACGTTTTTGGAAATCATTAACTCTCTGATTTAGATGATTATTGTACTTTGGTTTGGAAAATTTTACATAAGCAGACTTTCCAAGATGGAACATTGTGAAGGTATGAGTAGGTGGATCTGCTGACGCAGAACACACGTGTGATTAACAAAAACAGCTGAACTATTGTAAGGCTGGCAGATGCCAAATGTTATTTCTGACCAAGCAAGCAACCAAAAATATCAAATTTGCCTAATCATACTTTCTATATTAATTAGGCCAAAGATATGCTTATGTACAAAGTTGTTGCCACTACTCTTTCAATTTTTGGTCATCTTTCTTTTGTATTTTTCTCTTTCTTTGCATTTAAATAAGTTTAATGCTACTATTTCGTATTTACTACTCTTTAAAAAAAAAAAAAAGTCCTAACAGCATTTAATTATTTTAAAAAAAATTAAATTCGTTTTGTACATATATTTAGGTGTACCAAAAATTAATTAAAATGCCTAATTAGGTTAGGGTTGGGTGGTGCTTAAGAGCTAAAGGTACGAAGAATTAAATTGAGAAAAGAACATGTCAATGTCACCTCACCTTCCAAACTTTTTCCCATGCATGAAATGTGATTAGCTTTATCTCGAGTCGTAAAATATTCTTTTTCCATGTCTACTTTTGAATTTCACAGTCCATCGTGTGTTAAACGTGATTAGTAATTTTTTAAAAAAATTTAAAATTTATATTTTAAAATTTTAAATAATATTTTTTAAAATAATTATATAAATTAATTAAATTTAAATTTAAATTTATTAAAATTAGTAATTAATCGAAATATCTAAATTGTCAATGGATAATAACCGAAATTCTGATACTTATCAAGTTAAAATTAATATTGTCACCTTAATTAATAACTAGCTAAGTCATTCAGTGAGCACAAACAATAGGAGCTTCCGGTTCAAAAATATCTGTCAAAATCTTCTTCTTCTTTTTTTTTGGGGGGGGGGGGGGGACCATGCAGGAAAATTAATCAAGAAAACAACAGTAGAATTAGGGGAAACTATTTGTTTTCATTAAAAGATTAATTGCACTAGATAAGTGGGGGATTTGCATGGCATGCTCCACCACTTTGGAAATTGTGATGATGAACAGATTGACCCCCCCATAGAAGGGTCTTGTTTGATTTTTTATTTTTTAGTTAAATTTTACTAACTTTAATCATTGAAATTTTAAATGTTTTCTTAAATTATTTTTTATAAAATTATATTTAAAAATTTCCTCATTCAAGATTTTTAAAAGTATTTTTTTATGTTTTAATTAGTAATATATTAAAAATAAAATAAATTAAAAATTAAAAATAACATTTAAAAGTCAAACTAGAACATTGTTTACGGGACAATAATAATAATAATTATTATTATAATTATTATTATTATTATTATTTGTCTACGAGCAAGCAAAGTGATCATGAATTTTGGTCTAGAAGATGGAAGATGCTTTTAAGCATCAGAATCACAATTAGATTGAAAAAAGGGCGGTCTAGGAATTCCTGATAATTACTTGAAATTCATTCAGTTGTTAAGACAAAGTGTAATTTAGATTAGATAAATCATAGTTCTAATACAAAATCAAGTAACGTGCATTAAATTTAATTATTAAAATAATGAAAACTATACTTCTAATGTAAGTTATAGGTAAAATTAATTAAAATTGAATAATTATAAGATTGTTAAGATATAGTTTAAAAAATTTAGGTAACCTATGTTATCAGCTCGAAAAGATGAATTTAAATGAATTAATTTAGATTTAATTTATTATAAATTGTGAAAATAAAATATAATAAAATTTTAAATATATATATTTTTAATTCTAAAAAGTATAAAATAAATTACCGTAGAAAAACACGAGTCAAGAGCCAAAGTAGAGTTCAAAGGGTGGTGCTCTTCAACCCGCAATAGCCGGTAAAACTCTCGCTTGTGTCGCTTGTTCAAAGGGTTGCGCGCTAAATTTGCCGGTTCTTTTAACGAACTTAAAACATTTAAAAAAAAAAATGGTCCCTATTTTTGCTCTCTTTTTGATTCAACACTGAAATTCGTTGCCCACTCGTCGCGGTAATTCCTTCTTTCCTTTTTCTTGCTTTGCCGACACTTTCATCTCAAGGATTCCCTCACTAATAATCTTTTTTTTAAAAAAATTTAAAATCACACTTAAAAAACAAAGAAAATTACCTTGAATATCTTCATCATCACCCCAACTTTTTCTTTTAATTTTTAAATAAATTTTTTATTCGTCTCATAATTATTTTATATATATACAAAGAGTATTGAAATTGGTTGCAGCAGGTAGAAGGGGTGATGTTATGGCGGCAATATAATTTTAAAAACATTTTTTTTATACGAAAAATGGATTGGTACAAAGTTTAGGTACTAGTTCAATTGTCTTCTTTTGTTTATCTTTATTCATTGATTCAAATATTTTGGTAGATTTCTCTACTCTATAAACAATACCTTATGGCTATCTTCATCACTTCTATCTAGGTTTTTTCTTTTTTGAGTTTGGGTTTTCAAATGGAAATATGTTAATGGGGTATCATTTATAATCACAAAGTGTTAACTTGTAAAGTGCCTAGTGTTGTGGGGTATTATTAGATTTCTTTTGTTTTTTTTTTTTAAACTTGAGTGGCGATGGTGATGGTGGGTTTTTTACGGAGAGATTGAAAGGACTATTTCAGAAGCTGGTAAGGTTCTTAAAAGGGAATACTTATATGCTTTGAAATTGAGGTAGTAACTGAGCAAGGAGAGAAGAAAACATGCCTGCTAATCAGAAGAAAAATGTGTTGGTTGGGATTCGAATAGATAGCCAAAGCAGGGATTTGCTTAGTTGGGCTCTTGTAAAAGTTGCAGAACCTGGTGATTGTGTTGTTGCAGTTCATGTTTCCAGGTGTTCTGGTAAGGCCTCTCATTACTTTCCAAAAATTTGAATGCTGTATAAACTTTCCTAATTATTTTTCTCCGAGGTTTTTGTGTTCTAATTTGAATTTTCAATGTAGATCATGCTTTGGGAGAGAAGTTGATGTTAGAAGGTTATTTAGAAGTATATGAAGGACTATGTTCAGTAAAGAAGGTTGGTTCATTATCAACAACTCGTCATTTAGATAAATGTTCATTCAAAAGAACGAAAACATGATCCATTATAATCACATTTTTCATGCTTGGGTTTCAGGTTGATCTTAAAGGCCAGATATTTAAAGGAAGTTCGACGCGAAAAGTTTTGATTAGAGAAGCAAGGAACTATGCTGCTGTAGCTCTAGTTGTTGGTATAGGCAAGCATAGTGCTCTTGGGTAAGGAGCAGTTAAAGACTCAATCTTTTTGGTTGTTTGAATTGGTGTGATTCTTTGTCTGATTTCTCTAAAAACAGATATCTTTTTCAGGGGTTGGACTTCCACAGCTAGATACTGTGCAAAGCGGTTGCCAACAACTACCAATGTTCTGGCCATCAACAATGGGAAAATTGTTTTCAGGTCCAACAATTACCAACTACCAGGTTTGGTTTTTCCTGTTCGAACTGTTTCTAGTTTTTACTGTTGTCTTCAGAAGTAGTAGGTTTACTTTTAATTTGTCAGGTCTTAAAGATGATCCAAGATCAAGTCTTTGCCTGATTGAAAATCCTGCTGCCAGAGACTGCCAATCAGAATATGGTGATTCTGAGGTAGGGTCTGAGATATCCAGTTTTGAAGGGATTCAAAACTCCAAAAATGGATCAAGAACCAGTAGTGAAGACTCTAAGAATGATATATTGAGTGTTATTCGCGAAGGCAAGAAAATCTCTTCGAGGTCACTTTCTCTTTTTGCAGGAGATAGTATGGACTACAAGCCTGGTTGGCCCCTCCTCCTGAGGGCTAGTTCAGCAACACCACAAGCAAAGCACGCCAGGAGTATGTCAGTTGTCAAATGGGTAATGAACTTACCAAGTCGTTCGCCACATCATACTCCTCGATGCTCAACCATCAAGGAAATAGAGCTGAATGGCAGCGAAGATGAGAATGATAGGAGCAATTCATCTATGCAATATGAGTTGCAAAAATGCTTGGAGATACTCCTGGAAACAAATTCTTCTAATTGCCAATGGCTCAGTTATAAAGTTCTAAAAGCTGCAACTGCTCAGTTTTCCACAGGTTTTTATCCCTAACGTGCCTTGCAACCACTGATGTGTTCTTTTTTACTTTTTATGAGTTTTTTTGTTTTTTTGCTAAAGTTCTGTTTCATAGCAGAGAACCTGATTGGAAAAGGAGGGAGCAATCTTGTTTATAAAGGGATCCTTCCAGATGGCAAGGCAGTTGCTGTCAAGATTCTGAAGTCATCAGAAGAGGCATGCAAGGATTTTGCCAATGAAATCGAAATAATCTCCTCACTGAAGCATAAACACATCATGCCTCTACTTGGTGTCTGCATTAAAGATTATGATCTAATATCTGTCTATGATTTCTCATCTAAGGGAAGCTTAGAAGAAATTCTGCATGGTACAGCTTCAATGAGATCTGTGTTTTCTTTGCTTCGTAAAATGGTAAAAGTTGTCATAAACCATACTGATGCAAGCTAACATATATTGTAGGGAAAAACAAAGAAAAACATGCCTTGTCATGGGAAGACAGATATAATGTGGCCGTTGGGATTGCTGAAGGCCTAAATTACCTACATAATGAGCATTCTCGACCTGTTATTCATAGAGATGTCAAGTCTTCAAATATTCTTCTCTCAGATGGGTTTGAACCAAAGGTAATTTAAATGGTAATTACTGATATAATGTTAGTTAAAAACGAAACATGTGACAGATCGATCACATGGCCATTTTTTTTCAATTGTGACAGTTATCTGACTTTGGACTAGCAGTATGGGGACCAACTGATTCATCATTTCTGACTCAACCTGATGTTGTTGGAACATTTGGGTATTTAGCTCCTGAATATTTCATGTATGGCAAACTTAGCCAAAAGATTGATGTCTACGCTTTTGGTGTTGTTCTTCTTGAACTGCTATCGGGAAAAAGACCGATAAGCTTTGAGAATCACAAGGGCCATCAGAGCTTGGTCATGTGGGTAAGAGTTTTCTCTGAAGCAAAGTTCTTTTCACTTCTTGTCATGTGCATCAATTATACTGAAGTACCTAAATTTCAGGCAAAGCCAATAATAGAGAGTGGGGATGTGAAAGGCATACTGGATCCTAGTTTAAATGGAAATATCAATAAGACTCAGATGCATAGCATGGTTCTAGCAGCAACCCTCTGCATCACACGGTCAGCTAGACTCCGTCCTAAGATGAGCGAGGTAATAAAGCCTTTTGTATATGACTAAAACAGAACAGAATAGATGAAATTTCATTTACATTATGCATTCCTATGTCCAGATACTGGAGCTTTTAAGAGGGGAAACAGCTGTTGAAAAATGGGCAGAGACACAAAATGAGAACACGGAAAGCCTAGACCATAATGATGATGAAGTTTATCCAAATTCAAGCGCTGAGTTACATTTAAGTCTCGCAATGCTTGATGTCGATGATGATTTGACATCATTTAGTAGCATGGAGCAAAGCAGTAGGCTTTCCATGGAGGAATATTTAAAAGAAAGATGGAGCCGATCATCAAGCTTCAATTAGACTCTATGGCATCCTGAAGCTGTTTCAAAACCAAGTTTGCCGCAAACCCAATTTTTGGGATGTGTTTGTACCTGTACAGCCGAGAGAAAATAAAAGAAAAACAGCACCCATTTGTTGAGGTGTGATTTGGAGATGTAGAATATTCTTGTCAAAAAATGATATGATTGAACCTATTTTAAAGTTGTCAAAGATTTCTGGAGTGAAACATGGACAAAACAGAAGCAAAATAGGACACTATATACTAGTTTTTAAGTAGTTATCTGCTGCAAGAGATCTACTGAATCTCATAGAGAATAAAAAATGGTAACATTAATCACTAAAACTAAAAATGAAACATTTTATGAGCAAAGCACTTGGTCAATGTATTTTTGCATGGTAACTTCTGCTAGTCCTTGCTGTTTCCCAACAAACTTGCTTAATTAGCCCAAGTGGCCCAAGTGGCCCAAGTTGCCTTTTTAATCCCACATGAACTAGGAAAGTTGTTACTTCAATGGCAATAATTTAGGGCTTGAAAGTTCATGTATAATTTTCTATCAAGGGCCTTTGGAAATAAATAAAAAGAAAACAATTTTACCAACAAATTTCTAAAAAAGCACTCTTTCACATTAATTAATGTGGACCCAATGACTTAATTTTCTTCCAAATTGGGGCCCAGTCCACCCTTCCTTATAAATTGACCCAAAATCCACAAATTTCTACAACTTGGTTTGGATTTTTCTTGGAAATGAAACAGAACTAATTGCTTTGAATTTTCGTGCTTTCAATGTGGTTCACTAGTCTCCAAAATCCATAAAAGCTCCAACTGGACTGAACCACATCAAACCCATGATCTTGACCCATATTAGAGCAGACTGCAAATAAGTTTCTTTAATTAACAGCGAATTCCCTCAAGTACCTACCTGTATATTGAAACCAATGGGGACTCTCCCCGTGTCTCTCTGCAACCAAAGCTTCTCTCTTTTCTTTCTTTGTTTCTGATATGTCCATTCTAGGAATCTTCAAATTTTATCATTTTCATTGACCTTTTCAGCAATATTAAAAATAAATCATTTTTTCTCTCTAATAAAACATTTCACTTTCTCGTTGCTAAAATTTTATCCTCTTCTCTTAGTCATTAGTCTTTACGCAATTACGCTGCTTCTTCTCTTTTTTTTTTTTTTTTCCCAAAAAGGAGCTGCCGTTTATTTTCTAGGCTTCCATTTGTCCAATCTATGATGACGATGCTCTTTCTTCGATACTTCGTTCTTTGGTTTCTTGTTTAACCTTAATTGTATCGAATTGTTTGGGTCATCTCAGGTTGTTCAACTTGCCGTGTTCTTTTTTCTGAGTAAGCTTCTTTTCCTTTTTCTTCTTTATGATAATTGTGTGATTCGTTCTCAGTTGAAAATCTTTTTTTTTTTTTTGAAATCTTGTAATAGTTGCTTGGAAAAAATGTTGGGTTGTAACTGAATTGCTTTAATTAGGTTTTTTTTATATATAAAAAAGCATATATATGTGGGAATTATTAGAATTTTTACATATTTCTTAATTTTATTGTTGGGTGTTGCTACTTGCTAATTGGGCACGATTTATTATCTGGGTCAGGTTCAAAATCGTAAATTTATCTCTTCTTCACTAGATTTAAGTGTTTCCCTTCGATTCTTCTGAGGATTTCTACTTGTGATGGACGACGGGGAGCTTGATTTTTCGAACCAAGAGGTGTTTTCCGGCAATAACATGGGTGATATTCCAAGCAGTTGCTCAATGGACAGTTTTTTCAATGAATTACTCAATGATCATCATGCCTGTACCCATACACACACTTGCAACCCACCTGGCCCTGATAACTCTCATACGCACACCTGTTTCCATGTTCATACCAAAATTGTGCCTGCCTCAACTGAAGATAAGGCTGCTATTGATGACACCGCTGGGTCTAGGGAGAAGAAATCGAAGAAACGTCCGCTGGGAAACAAGGAAGCTGTTAGGAAGTACAGGGAGAAGGTTAAGGCACGAGCTGCCTCGTTGGAGGATGAGGCTGCGAGATTGAGGGCAGTGAACCAGCAGCTGTTGAAGAGATTACAAGGTCAGGCTGCATTGGAGGCTGAGATTGCAAGGCTCAAGTGTTTGCTTGTAGATATTCGAGGAAGAATTGAAGGGGAGATTGGATCGTTTCCTTATCAGAAATCAGCAACGAATGTTAACATGATGAATTTGCCTGGTTCTTATGTGATGAATCCCTGCAATGTGCAATGCAATGATCAGATGTATTGCCTTCACCCTGGGACAGAAGGCAAAACAGGAGAAGCTGCAGCACTGAATGGACAAGGATTTAATGGGTGTGAGTTAGACAATATTCAGTGTTTTGTGAATCAAAACTCCGGAGCAAAAGAGCTTTCTACTGATGGGGTGCGAAATGCTGGGTCCAATGGCAATTCTTCTGGCACAAAAAGGAGGAAAGGTGAAATTTAGGAGTTCTTTCTCGAAATTTCTTCATATAATTTATGGTGGATATTGGAAAGTTAATTTATGATATGATTTATCTGAAAATTTTATTTTACCACCATCTGTGCTAGTATGTTGCCTGTAGTTATTTGCTTCACTAATTTCAGGCTTGGAAGTTCCAATCCCAAATTTAAATCTTTTAGAGTAAGTGTTTCGCTCAGTTTGTGCTTCTTCTACCTTGTTAGGATTGCTGTAAGTAGTTTTCTCTTGTGTGTTTATGATGAAGTTATTTCATTTTTTGCTTGTTGCAACAATAGACTGCACACATCAACCATCTGGTAATTCTGGTTGATAACCACATTAACTATGATTAGCAGAAGAATAACAGAATATTTACATGAGAAATAAGAACCAACATTGGTGGTGCAATGTTATTTGAATATTTAGGTGTTTTTTGATAACCACATAAATTGTTAAAAGTATAAAATGCTAGTGGTTTCTTTATTTTTTAAATGGGCTTGGTTGCACATAGTACTGAGCAATGTTCGAAGTATAGAGAAAAATGGCATATTTGTTGTTGAGTGTCAGACATGTCCAAGCCCTTTTGTGTGTGAGCTGTAATCAGAGAGAGTCCTTTTCACAGATATTGGAACTTGTTCTTGCAACCATGAGTTGTATTGACTGTTTCCAAACTGAATATAGCTGTATACAATGTGTAACACTCTGCTTTTGAGTATGTTGTTGCTTTGATACTGATTTATTTTCTTGGTAGGTGTTTGTGCAGCTACAGCAGATTGAAGAACTGTTGAGATAAACGTTATCCATATTCTGGTGGGATACATATTTGTCTTCCAACAAGCAGCTTTCTTGGGATGCATCACCTTCCCTCAGGTTGCATTGCTTTTTTTATTTTCTTTATTATTATCTGTCCGTTATTTTTTGTTTTTTTAGTCCTACTTATGGGTTGTTAGAGGTGGTGGTCTTCTTAGTTTATGGTTTAAAGCCAACAAACTTGTAAAGCTGAAACTTATGGATTTATAGGTTGTAGTATTTAAGAATAGTGGCCATCAGTCTGGTTGCTTGCCAAGCTAAACTCAAGTCAATAAAATGCCCTATCCAGTCTTCGTACCGGCTATGTATGAGATCCATCAGTAATTACCATCATCAATGATGCTATGCTTTGCTGATTTTCTTAAAAATTTATTAGTGCTTGTGTGCAGTGTTTTTTTCATTTTACCTTTAGCCTGGGTTGAGTTCTAGTTCTGTCTTTCTAAGCTATATGAATTCTTTTATTGCTGAATCACAGAATTAGGGAAGGTGGAATATCTTTGATGTTTCAATACTGTGAGCCCTGAGCTGGTGAGTTACTAGTTTCAATTCTTGCAGTCATAGCTTGTGATTCACATGGGAGGCTACAAATTAGCTTTCTTAACTTTCAGCCCTTCCTACTCCGGTTTTGCATGGCATCAACTAAGCACAGTAAGTTTGCTTTTGCCATAAGCATTCTGTTTAGGAAGGCTGTGAGATGCCTACTCAAGAGGGAAGGGCCATCTTTTTAACTGAGGTTTTGATCAACAGTCGTCTGATGAAAACTGATAGTAGTAAAAGATGGGATGGTTAATCACTACGATTTATTCTATACTGATAATTGCCCCCTAGAGTAGCCGGCGTCTAGCTTGCTACAATCCTACAATTGAAACAAAATGGAAAGAGAAATGTGGCTTTCAAATTTAAAAAAAAAAAAAAAAATCGTTGAATTTTTTAGGTTGACAATTCAATAATTATAAGTCTTGTTCATTGCAATCTGCTACAAGTCCAATTTGTTTCATTATTATTATTATTATATTTTTTGGTTGAGAAGAGCCCTTTTCTACTCAATTTTTGGTGGTTTTGTTTGTAGATTTAAATGGAAATATACATTTAAAATCAAAGGAACCATAGACACTTTGGGGAGATGGGAAGGGGCAATGTTGGGGAATGAGGATTAGCAATACAAAATTTTACAAGATTGTATGTGACAAAACCCTAGAATGAAGGTTTGTGTCAGAGGTTAAAAGACCTAAAGCTCATTCTCATACGGTAAGAGGTAGCACGCTAAGTTATTTTTGGAGGACGTAACCATCAGTGGTTTCCTCCGGTCATCTCGCAGACATAACGTTTAGAGGCTCTTCGCCTCTAATCTTGGGCATTAAAACGGTTTTGATATTTGATTCACGTATTTGAAAAAGGACTCAGCGAAGAGTTACTAGATGCTCTTGTTCTTCGAGTCGCAAGGGGATTAGCCCCCAACTACGGGCTTGGTAAACCCAATCACCCCCTTTACCTCACTGCTTTACAGCAGATTTAGGTCAACAGTAAACCAGCCTTGAATAGAACAAAAAGCTTAAAAAATAGAGGGTTTGAATATGAATTTAGACATGTTAAAGACTACTTGATGTCGTTGACATGGAAGACATGATTATAACTCACATTAACTCACTTAAAGGTCATCCTTAATCTCTGAAGCCAATATCTATGGACTATGGATGGTCCTCAGCAGCTTGCAAGTCATCATCATCGCGATATATACTCTCTGCCAATTGCCAGACCTGAAGAGTGTTATCCTCAGCTACACTTGAAATCACCCATGGCTCATTTTTGTTCCATGAGAAATCTGATATCTTAGCTTTATGGCCGCCATGAGAAAATAGAAGCTCGGGTGGGCCATCATCAGCATCTAACTCAATTTCTAATTGCTCTTCCCCAATCCTGCAAGCCAACGATACACCAATAATAAGTCATGAGGGAGAGAAAGAGAGTTGGATAATGTTTCTGAATGAAACAACGTTTTTTTTTAGGTCAAATGAAACAATGTTAGTAGCTGTGACCTGAATTATTAATCTTTTTTGTGGAAAGTTGTATTAATCATCTTAGGAACATCCCAGACATGATAAAGTCCATGAGAAGAAAAAATTCAGCAGTCTGGGTTTGTGCGATGGTCAATCCCAGGATGTACAACAGATTTAATGAAATTAAAATTGATGATATCGCTCCTACCAAATGCAAGACAAGACAGTTCAATAGGGAAAACTTTTATACTGTATCATAATGTGGTCGAATAAAAGTTGAAAGCAAAAAGAAAATGGAAAGCAACGCATGTGATATCATGAAAAGTAGAACAAATTATATTGAACACATTCCTAGCATCAATCCATATGTAAACTACCTGTTAAGGTCCCAAACCATCAATCTTCTATCATCACCAGAAGATGCCAGCACCATCTCATGATTAGGATCCCATTCTACCTGAAAGACCTCTCCACTGTAAAACACAAATCCAAGGTGAGAAGTTATATTTCAATGATTTCATGTACCATTTGGTTTGTGGAGTATCTAACGCATAATTGTTCGCATAACTAGAAATACGGGCAGTAAAAGGATTTAATGCTTTTAGCATACTAAACCCCGGAATCAATCTGAGAGACAGCAGACTTACGTGTGACTGCTTAAAACATACAAGGGCATGGTCAGCTTTCGCAGATCAAACAAACCTACAGTAGAGTCAGAAGATGCTGTGGCCAGAATCCACTCATTATATGGATTGAAAGACAAATAATTGATCTGAGACACAAAAAGAACATTTCTTATCAGATGATCAAAAGGACATTGAAACATAAAACTGAAAAAAATACTATAACACACCTCTCTCTCATGAGCTTTAACAATGTTGGGTTTGGTTAGTGCGCAAGTCCCAGATTATCAACTGACAATCATCACCTGAAGAACCAAATATATTCTCATTCTTCAAATACCACGACACATCTTCAACCACACTTTCATGACCCAACAAGGACATTCATATATCTCATAATCAAACTGAAACTCACAAAGGTTAAAATCCTAGCATTTTCTATAAAACAAAAGAGCAAGTCCCATAAATACCTCGTAAACATGCATTGCATCAAGAACCTTATCTTGAGGCCAAACAGACAAGTCGCACAGGCATATCTTATGGTCTTGTGAACCACTCACAAGAAAACCCTCCTTAAGCGGACTCCAAGACAATCCATATCCTTGTCAAGACCCCTCAACCTCAAATCAGGATCACATTCACCCCCTTGCTCCTTTGCTGCCTGCTTGGTGTAATCAAACAAAACCTCACAGCCACTGGTCTTTGCACCAATAATAACCGGATTCTGAGGCATACACCTAGCCCGGTTCACTTCCCCATCAACACGCATTTTCTGTGTTATCTCCACCTATCAAAAGCCAACCAATTTCAGCTACAGCTAGTAATTCCATTAGATAACACAAACTTAATCTGGCATTCCAGTTAGTTAATGTAGTTAAAAGAGAGAGAGAGAGAACTAGTAATTTCATAGAACAATTGAGTGCCTAAATATCAGAGTCAATAATTCAATGCTTCCATCTAGAAATATCATCGAACACTCGGTACCCACAAAAATAACTAATAGGAAACTAGAAACTCAACGAACCTTAGGGACAACTGGGTCATCATTTTTAGCGCCAAAAGTGGATTCTGCGGCAAGGGTAGGGAGGACTGCGTCGGCAATCATGAGAAAATCCAAGGCGCCACCGCTGGTGTGGGTCCCGAGGACGAGTTTATGGACGGTAAAAGATGGGTCGGCTCCGCAGGGGCTCGGCGAAGATGGGACCCAGTGGACAGTCAAAGAAGGCCACTCGAGAGGGTGAGAAACGACGAGATCATAGAGGAATGGGGTGTTCTTCTTCCACACGGTGAACTCTTCCTCTAACTGATCTGGGTTCATCTCTGAATCGTCTGCCATGGTCCCTCGGCCCGGTTGGATTCGGTTCTTCCCTGAGATTTTCTATACGTGATAACACTAACGGTAGGCCCATAAGAAGACCAAGACAGCCTACGGCCCAAGACTAGAGGCAATGGTGAGCTGGACCTTGGAGACCAGGCTTAGGCCTGCCAATTGCATGGCCTTTCATTAAGAAAATGATACAACTTTATAATTCAGATTTTCTAATAAGAAATTTTAATGTTATTAAATTAATTTTATACGATAATAAATTTTTAATTAAGAGAAAAATTTTATAATCAAGGCTATCAAGTATTGAACCTTTATTAGTAGAAAAAATTCAACTCTGCCAATAAACCACAAGGAATTTTACTTTTTTAAATTAAATTTATATAAGAATACATTTTAACTAAGATTAAACTTTGAATTAAGTTTACATTTAAAAAAAAAGTGGAATAGAGTTTAGGACTCCTTAAACCACCAAAAAATCATGGAGTTTAGGGAAAACCAACATTAAGTTTTGGTCCTTTTGGAGCTTTGAGATGTTTTTCCAATGCAAAAATTTACAATGAAATTTTTTTGCATATATATATATATATTTACTATTTGATAAGTTAAATTGAAATATTATTAATATTATTGGTCAAAAAAAGTAATATAGGTATTGTTATCTTTTTTAAAAAATTGTTGTTTATTATGAAAAAGTTTCATTTTCTGGATAAATGAAAATTTTATTCTAAATTAAAAAAAAAAAAAAGATAGCTACTACATAAAAAGTAAGAGAGGTAAAGTTACAATAAATCTAATTTTATTGGCTTATATCTCAATTAAAAAAAAAAAAAAAACTTGGTATTCATCAAAACAACAAAAACTCTCACATCAATTATTAAAATATTGAATTATATTGTCAAATAGCTGCCATTATTCCATGGTAAGATCTATATAGCAATAACAACTTCTTAACTTTTATGTTTGGTATTGAGTTGTGTGAACATATATAAAAAGAAGAAATTTAAGTATGTATTGGCACAATAAAGAAATGCTGTATCGAAAGGGGAACTTCAAATTAAATACTACCACAAGACTAAATGTTATTAAAAAAAAAAAAAACAAGATCTTTTATGAATTTCAAATAATTTAATCACTACACCAAGAAAAAGTACAAGAGAGTCGAGACCCTCCAAAGAAAAATAAAAATAAAATAAATAAAATAAAAAATTGAAGCAATTACGAATATATATATATATATATATATGAGAAATTTTATGAGTGTATAATTATAAGTTGCTTGGTTGACCAATACAATGGGAATTTGGAACAGTTCTTTCCCTAGGAATCTTTGAAACCTGGAATCTCGTCAGAACCGCAAAGCATATTTAGGATCATGAAGTCGGTGCAACGTTTACTTCTTGGTTAGATCTTCCGGCACAGGTGGCAGGCAATTGGAAACACCCTTACTGTTCCAGTTCGAGATTGGTTGGGCGGTGGAAATAAAAACCATTGTTTATCTGTTGCACCAGACGGTCTATTTCAATAGCCTTTGATCTTTGTCGTTTTAGAATAACGGTTGAAACTGAACGAAGCCATGTGTTATTTCACCACTTTACTTTGAACGACTGTTATGTTAGATTGTCGTTTTATCACAAATTTCTTAGGCCAAATCATTTAGAAAATATCACTTCTTGAATTTTATCCATCGTGGGGTTGCTTGGACACTTGGAGAAACTACAAATTGCCAGACATTCCAACCATTCAATTATGATTTATCTAAATCTCGGTCCCCCTGTAAACTAGACCAGTTGAAACAAGTGATGGGTTTTCGCTGTACAACATTACAGAATGTATGGCAGATGAGAAATAAGCCAGGAAATCAATGGCCCCTTCAGCGTTCATTTGTGCAGGTAAAAGCTGTGAATTGTTGACCACTTTAAACGTTATGATCCATACCATTTTTGCAGCTCAAATTTATTATGGATCCGAATGTTCCCACTTCACAGATCCAACTAAATGTGAAAATGACCTGTGAACCATCTCCACTCACTTTCCTTTTGCATGAAATCTTCGTTACTGTTCCTTTCTTCCCATCCTCCAACTTACATGGCTAACAATACTTTGTTTGCATCAAATCTTTTATTATAGAACTACTCTACATTTTCAGTCAACATACAATGATATTTCATTAATTATTAAAATAAAAAGTAATCACATCCTTAATAAATATGAGTAAAATTATCATGTAATTAATTAATATTTATTTTTAAAATTTTGAGTATTTTTTATTTTCTTAATTAATGAGATATCATTATAACTAATTATTATATATATATCTCATTGTTTTTTTCTATTTACAAATAAAAACCATAACCCATTTTTTGTTTAATACTTCTAAAACTAAAATTTGAAAGCTATCTCTTCCTCCAAGCAATTTTACTACATAATTTACTACTAATTAAAAATTTTGATTCAACAGATCAAAATATCCAAAATACACCATTAATAGAATAGAGCCAATAGTACAATTTACGACCAAATCCTCAAACGAAGACAAATTTTCAACACACAAGTTAATTCACTACTAACACAAAATATTTGATACAGTACCATTTTTTTTTCTTTTTATTTCAATCGATCACATGATAGAACAAGCAGTAGGGTTCTCATCGCTAAAAGCTGTGGTGTATCTAACTTCAGTGGAGCTAGCTCGAGCGAGATGCGATACCAGCGGGTCCTCAGCGTTGCGAACGTACCCAGCTGGGGCTTTCTTATCGTAAACCCCGGGAGCATAAGGGTGAGCCACCACGTCATAAGGCACGTAGGGCCATAGCTCTACCTTCTTGCCAGTCCGATGTGCCACGCGCGCAACCACCTTTGCTGGGTCGACATATCCAACCACTGTTAACTTGTTGGCCTTACGTTCAACGTCCACTTGCGTCACACCTTTCATTCCTTCCACAGATTTTTTAACTTTGCGTTCACATCCTTCACAGTCCATTTTCACCTTGATCTCCACCGTCTGATCAAACAAATCAGTAAAAGACAAGTTACAGTGTCAGAGCAATGACAAGACAGAAAAAGCCCATGTCAGGAGATGACAAAACCTGCTAACCACCGAGATATCTCCTGGAAGCAAAGATCATCTTCAAGGTGTTTTGTCGTTTGTCTGACATTTAAAGTAATGTCCCAAAATAACCTTCCACTCGAACAAAAGTTTGCAACTTTTTTATTTTATAGTGATTTTGTCTATCAGTATTCTTTGTATACTCTGTTTAATTTGATTCATTTATCTCCAAAAAGGAAACGTATACCGACTGATTGGTGAGAAACAGAAACAGTACAGACTGGAAAGCGGTTACTAACGTCTTAAAAAAAATATATTGACGCATAGAGCCAATTTGCATTAAAATAAACCAAGAAACTTCTATATTTTTTAAAAAGTAAATCAGCTTTCCCCTGGAAAATTATTTTAGCCTTCACTTTCTTTGCTAATAATTCCTTTTCTTTAATGATTTTGTGTATTGACTCCCTGGATTTTCCTATTTCCACAATTTCTAAAACCACCAAGTTGAATACTGGCAGTAAGTAGTACTTCAGATTTCTCAGATTTGATTTACCAGATCAACGAAGGAAAAACCATCCCAAAAGGACACAAAAAAAATTTGACATTCTGATTAGCAGATCCGAAACCTAGCGAGATAAATCTAGTCATTTAAGAACCAGAAATGAAAACCCAAACTTTAAAAGAAAAGAGATTCCTTAACTAGTTAGTTGATATATATATATATATATATATATATATATATCCAGCAAATTTCTTGATCTAGTTATATATCAAAGAAGTATCTTTTACCGAAGATTAAACCCAAAACCCAGAAGTTAAAAAGGATTTGCTTAAAGAGATGTACCTGCAACTGCTTACGTTTCTTGTGCTTGGAACTGCCAGGAGAACAGTCGAACAGATCAGAAACATGATCCAGAACACCCATTTTTTTGAGTTTTTCTCTTGTGTGTTCTTTCCTAAAGTGTTTGTCTCTCTTTTGATAATTGGAGTAACTAAAAATAAAGAAAAGCAGATGGTAAAAGTTAACTGTAGAAGAATTTCTCAGTTTATACAAGAGAAGAATGCTGCAAACCAAAATATCCTTTCAAAAAAGTTTCCTGTTCAAGTTTGATAATTAATGACAGTATGATAATCATATAATACAGGTGAGGTAGGAATCCCTCCACATTATATAGAAGAGGGCTTTAACTTGGTGAGGTTTACGGCCTTCATAGAATGTCGTTTGATTGTTGTGTTCTACAAAGTTTGCGCCACGTGTCTAAGTTGTACTGATGGTGAATGTAGAGAATAGATAATTTTGAGTTTTTTACGAGGTTGCCCATGCAATGGGAGTAACGACACCGACTCTGGACAGAAATGTGTGCGGGGTGTCGAGGTCCACTTCTTTTGTCGTTTGCCACCAGATAAGGGGATGATTACGCGCTTCGGCTTCGGTTTATGGCCCTACCCAACTGTGGACTTCATTTGAGCTTTGATCATCTAGCTATCCATGCCATCGCATTGGCTTTTGATTTAGTGTCAAAGAGCTATGATATGGGGTTGGGAACCCGGGCTTTTGTGTTGGGTCCCATAAGTTGGGTACTGAAGGTCAAGCTGAGGGGTGGGTGGGCCCTTTTGAAAATTTTGATACAATGGGTCCCAGGACTTGGCCTTTTTCTTTCAATCCAGCCTACATAATACAGGAAAAAGCCCAAGTTGCTTTATTGCGAAGACTAAAAACATTTGTACATGACAATGAACTATAGAGAGTTGCTTTATGTTTCTATTCCTTTTCTTTTTGGGATTGATTTGATTGAAGAAGGGAATTCAAACACGCATCTTTTAGTATGAAGATATGTAAAAACAAGTAACATCAATATTAATTACTTGTTTATGTATAGTCAGATTTTATATCTGGAAAATCATTTTAGAAAATAATAAAGATATATTTGTGAATTGTTACAAGTTCTTACAGATAGTAAGATAATCTGGTATAGTGTCTGTTGGTGAAAAAGTTGAGGGAAGAAGTTTGGTTCCTTTTGGAACCAGCTTTATATGGTCGATAGTCGATACTAGAGCACCATTATAAACAGACCTTGCTCAATTTAAGTTTTAAGCCCACTTGACCAATTTCCATAAGGCTGTTGGATTTACAAATTTGCTACATATTACATTGATGATTATCCCTCCAAGCCATTCGATTTCATTACTGGGCGAGAGATGAAAGGATGGTATCGATCACATGAGGCGTGAGGATAACTACAAAGTGGCAATCTCTCCCGTGGAAGATAGTCATGTCCCTCATGGGCCTTATCAATTTTTTTGAGTGACTTCCCTGAAATGGGCGGTGGAATATGTTGGGTCTCGTGAATGAATGAATTTGTAAATCCATTTCAAAAAGTAAACTATTTGCAGGCCCCATTTTTATCTTTTTTGGTAGAAATGTGTCAAGTTCAAGCCCACTTGTTAGGCAAGCACCAATCCGATCCATGTGAAAGGAGCCAACAACATTATCAGTAAAATTCAGATGCATTAATTCATGAATTTGTTGACATCTTTACACAAATTTTATCCAATAGTTGCTGTTTGAGGAAGCAATCACAGTAATGACTTGTTGACAGAAAAAAGATTCATAGAGTAAGTTGTCTACTTTCATAGATGTTAGTGGAATGACTGAAAAAGTGTTTCCTTGAATGAATTTTTATATCAGTAGACCATGGCATCTGATTATCCCCCAACAGAAGAAAACAGATTAACTCTTTTCACTCATCTTTCTGCTGGAAAATAGAACTCAGGACAACGTTCCCAAGTCGAGATTGAAATTTGTTTCAAACCTTTGACTAGCGGTTCACTATGTAAGCCTGTGTTTTTCCGTCACAACAATATATGATCATGTAACACAATAATTAGGAGGCACTTTCATCTATGATATTTTACTATGGGATTTAAGCCCCAAAGATTCAATTTTATAATGGTCCCAGCCCAAAATATGTAACAAATGCAATCCCAGTTGAGCATGTTTCCCATGGATAAGCTTTTCGGGTGAGTGCTTTGTGTTAATGTTAACTTGCTTGAGCTACAATTAATACAATCTTTTAAAGTTATAAACAAAGCCATATACGGCAGATATTGATACGCACGACTTTATTGCAAGTATGTGATTTCTTGTTTGATTTTCAAACATCAAAAAGGAGAAACAGGAGGGTCCCTCTATTTCTCATTACTAGAAAAAAGGAAAGAAAAGAAGGGTCGGTCAGGGTCAATGATCTGTTCGTGGCTAGTTATGGTGGAAGTGAGTTTCTCGGAAACTAGAATAAGTCAAATTTAGAAAAGCAGATCTTGCTTGCTTTAAAGAAACGTTACAAGCCATGCCGAGAGATTCAAACCGAAAGGATAAAGGGTATGGTTCGATGTTTCTACAGAGAATGAGGGAAAGAGAGAGAGTGTGTTCCACTTGGAGTCATCCACGTATAGATTGATGATAGCAGCAAAGAAAAAAAATTATGCAGTCAAAGTTGCACGAGAAGCACTCTAAGGCACATTTTCTTTCTTTTTTTTTTTGTTCTTCGTTAACCTTTAGTGAGTGGCAGCATTGAAAAAGTACCAGAATTTAAAGAAAGCAGCATAGGACTCCACCAAAGACACTACACTACACATGGCTTGCGTGTGTCGGTCTCCAATGTAGAAATTTGAGATCACCTGACATATTGCATGGGTCACATTAACCAACTCTTTCTCTTTTGTGACGAGAGAACAAACATGGAACAAAATAGGAACCCTTTTTTTTATGCTACTAGTAGTATTTATTTATTTGCCTTCATGAGACGTGCAACAGGATGGCCCAACAAACCTAAAAATCAGAAAAAGGATGAAGGCATTCACTACTTCAGATTTGCCATCTGCAATATTCCTTTTCTTTTTATAGGAACATTGGAGCGCAACATAACTACATGGTAATTCTTACTTATTAAAGGGAGAATAATTAATCTGCAAATTACAAAGTCTTCAGCTTCTCTCATCATGCTTTCATGCTGATATATTGATCTCTAATATTCCCTCGCAGTTACTAGACATATACCTCTTGGAATTTTCAGTTGAGTTGAAAACTGATCATCGGAGGACTGGAGAAGTCTAAAGACATATAATAGTCACTTATTAGAGGTCATGTTTTAAAGGGTTTTTCCTGTCCCACATCTCCTTTCCTTTTTGTTTTGAACAAGCTATTGATTCCATTTACTGGTTTTTACTTGTGAATTTAGATCTGCATGTTCATACAACCAAGACTCGTAATGCAAGGCGCAAGTTTAGCTGCCATGGATTCTTAACTTTGCTACTAGTACCCATTGTCATAGCTCCTATAACCAAGAGAATCTTCAGTTAGTAGTTCATCTTTCAGAAAAAAAAAATGCCTCTTTAATTTTCTCACTCCTTGATTTACATCAATTTTGCAGCTTCAACTACTAGTCTTGAAACTTGTATACACAGTGTATTTAGTATTTACATTTAGAATTGAGTACTTTTTTTTTTTTATAATTTCGATTTGAATAAGATTAAGACTAGTAATACCTAGGTGAGTGGAATATTTAATCAGAACCTTCCAGTACTGAATTTTTTTTCTCTTTTTTTATGTTGAGAATCCCTATATCTGCAGACGCATATACAGTGGATCCAGTCATCGCAATTATTTTATATATATTATGCAACCTATAACATGGATGATTGAATGTATATGATCTCTATATGTTTCCAGTCCACTAACTCCATATGCTTCCACGTGTAACAGTGGCTTGCTCTTGTATTATAGTTACTGGTTAATTGTTAGAAGCATGCATCTATGGCTGCTGAACAAACACAGACAAAGAAAGCAACAAATACTGCAGGTTTGCTGTGAAAACCAGACCATGCCAGATATGTATCACCAGTTTTGCTTTTTAATTATAGTCAAGATGCTTATCCCCATGCATATACATGTTTCCCAATGCACTATTTGTTCATAAAATACGTTTTAAAAATATGGGTCTAAACTCTATATGTATACATACCATAATGGATCCACATAAATTTTCAATGTGTGATGACCCAGTCAAGTTGCTATACCCCATACATGTCTCTCTCGAGATTCCTAAGTTAATAATTAATATATTTCAGTTTTTCAATTTGAATGCTAATTATCTTTCTGTGTGATGAAAATCATATTTAACACTCCATGTATATTTATAGTCAAAATGGAAATAGAAGAAGCTATGTTATATTGTTAAAATGTTACAATCATTTCAGTTCATGCCTGAATCATGCTTGTGTCATTTTAACAATTGGAGCAGTTATGATTATCTTAAAAACCTTTTTGTTTCTTTCTTCCAAAATGTCATGAGAGAGGCATTAGGGTGGTCCATAAAAGAACGTTTTGCAGTGAATGGTCTAGCAATCCAAGTCTCAAATGGTGGGCAACTGGGCAAAGAAAGTCCCATTCAGTCACGAGGTACGACTTTAAATGTAGTGGTGGGTCACAGAGGATGGGTCCTTACCTCTCAGCTACGTGCAGCCTCGGTGGTATAACAAGAACTCCTCAAGTGACCGTCGCATCTCTTTCAAAGTCTACCCATTAATAAAACAACTCATTAAATTGCCAAAGCATTGATAGTCTAGTCCCAGTTTTCTCCCATGCAAACAATTTCATTTTCCTTAATAAAGAAACTGCTTATCTTTATGTACGTATACGGAATACGAATCATTGAACATATGATTTTGAATTGTCAAGATCTTCAATGGGTTTAAGTATATTAGTTCAAATTTGAGTTGGTCAATAGTTGAATGGTTTTGAAGAATTAGGTGGAGAACTTGAGATTTTGTTTGAAACAAACAAGGAAGACAAAATCATTCACCAATTCATATGTTTAGCTAATGATGATGAAAGTTAATGGACCCTTAATTCTGGGGGGGACTTTATGTCAATGCATGCTTAGTAAGGCACGTAGAAAAACAAGCTCATCTGCCCTATTGAAAATTTTTTGGCGCAATTAATGTGATTCCAAGATATGAAAGCTCAATATTGCATTTTTAATCAAATCTTGGCTGCCTTCTGAATTTAGACTAAGTTATTTAAAAAAAAATTATAGATAATTTGAAAATACTTAAATCTTAATTAATAATTACGTGATTTGTTGATAGAAATATTTAATTTTAATAATCAAATATCAACAATTTCGAATAAAAAATTTACTTTAAGTCCTAACAAACAGATGCTTGAAATGTGTGTCAAACTTTCATTTCACCTCCTCGTTAATAGAATAGTGCATTTATATTAACCACTGATTAAGTAATGAACGTGTTTCCTACACAAGAAAGGGTTAAATCATTATCAATTTGAAAAACATGGAGAAAGTAGAAGGCCTGGTGGCCCTTTCAATGCTGATAGTTTCGGCCTAAGAAGCACCATTCAAACACAACTTTTGACGTGGGGACGGCCTCCATTATGGGAAGTGAGGAGTTGAGAACCCCAAGTGTGTCTATATCAAATCACTTTGCCAAAAGCAAACGAAAACAAAGAGAAGTAGTTGGGAAGTTGCAGCAACACTTCGCACCAAATACGACAATGGGCTTTGGATTTTTGCAAACACCCCAAAAAAACAAAAAATCCCAAATTAAAATAATAAAAAAAGAGTAGCTGGTCAATGAGGTGAAGTGAGCTAGCTAGGGACTTGCGGTTGATCTAGGGGTTTTCACAATTTCAGATGGTCTACCAAAGGATACAGAATAGCCTGGCAGACAGGAAAGGGATGATGAAGGGGGAATAAGAATAGGACTCACGAGGTAACGGTTGGTGAGCAATACATGGGGCCACCCCCACTCCATATGTGCCATTGCTGCTCTCACCATGTTAATTTCCTCTCTGCTTCCTCCTCGAATTCAAACGGCAACAACGCTTTCAAAATAAAGATAGCCACCCCTTTTCCCCTTTAGTATATTTATATACGTAAATGTAACAGTATTTGAAAAAAAAAAAAACCCATAGGGAACTGCGTTTCTGTAACCAGGATTTTTCCATGGACTTTCATCTCTCTCTCTCTCTGCATGTTGGACCCCTATAGAATCTTCCTGACATTAGACAAAATTTCCGTGATTTAGGATCCGTTGGACAAAGTGTTGATTTTGTATTGGCAAGTTCAAGCATGTGGTGGAGTACAAGAGCGACGGATCATCTTCCACGAAAAGAGTTATAGATTCTCGTTGCCAAGTAATTTCCACTGTTTTACATGAAATTTTGATTCATGGGCTATTTTCAAATATATATATGTATATGTTAGAGAGAGATTTAGACTTTAAACTTGCTTTTGGGGCAACTAGTCTATATCAGATTAGGCCATTTTATCTTTGTCACAAAAAGCGATGAGTACAAACCCCAACCAAACTCATTGACGATATTGATATCAGACCTTTTCTCAAAGGCAATTCAAATTCAAATGGTTAGATAATTGAGTTATAGTTTGGAACTATATCTATCTTCTTTTAATTGATCAGAATTGATTGAACAACAACTCAATGGCAAAAAACCCAAATATATTTTAATTGAGAAATTATCTTTTTTTTTGTCAGAATAACACATTACTTTAAAGAAATATTAAAAATAAAAAAAATTTATTGGATTCTTTACCATAAAAGTAAGGAGCATTCAATATTGAGAAGATACATGAACTGTTAAAACGTATATAGTAACTAATAAATGTACAGAAAAGGGGTAAAAGGCAAAATTTTGGCATAGGCATCATTATCTTTACTTTAATATAAGAAGCCTTTTTTATCACATGGGCAAAATATTTTTTTTTTAAATGTGGGTTTGGCCTAAAAAATTTATCAGATAAGAAATCTAGGGTGGAAGAGGGGTTGTTGTGGATTTGGGGATTTGGGGCAAAATCCACCGACTTTAAATTTCTCCAAATTTAGTTCAATTCTTCTCAAGGGAATCAAATTCATCCTTTCAGCTTTTGGATAAAATTTAAAGTAAGATTTTCTTTTCCTTATATATAATGTTGCTAAACATATATATAGCTTATTATCATATGACTTTATTGGATTACGACTTTATAAAATTCGATTACATTTAAATTTTATGAAATATTTTATGATGGATCTAAGATATTTTCATTTGGTAATTATGTTAATTTATTAATTTTATTCACAATCTAATAAGCAAATATAGTGAAAGTTTAGTATACAAGATAATTTTATGTAATTATTAAAAATATCTTCAAATTTAGTTTCAGTGAAGGGTAGTTAATTTTAGGGTTTAGATTTGTTCCATAACTCAACTAGCATTTATTTTCATGCATGTATATAAATTAACCCTAAAAATTTGCTTTGACTGTTTCTAGAAATTGTGTGTGTTTCATTGATTTTATCTCCTTAAAAACTCAGTCGTTTAGATTATTATCGAACAAAATTTATACCTAATTATAATAAAATTCCAAATCTAACTTGAAGGAGTGGACCTCCTTTTTTTTTTTTTACTTTTCTCATTAAAATCACCCAATAATTTCTCATTTATTTTGGCAATGTTAACTAAGCACCCTATGATTTACGCTGGATTCCAGATAGTCTTTCTTGCTAAATAAATTTTCAACTCTGACGTGGCAAAATTAAAAGATTAATCATCAAATAGTATTGAAATTGATTTTAATATCGAAGGTTTTGAATTCTAAAATTAGAAATATAAAGTTTTAAATTTTTAATCATAATCTAAAAAAAAAAAAAAAGAAATTGAAAGATTTGCGGTATATGACAAAAATAGATGGAAAACGAAGTTTCGATGACATCGAAAAAAAATAAATTTATATAAATTATTTATATTCCAAAAAATAAATGCAGAAATCGAAGAAAAAAATAAAGGAGAATTATTATAAGAATCCCATTTTTCAGGCTTTTCAAATGACTGAACTGTCACACAGTTCTGATTCCTTAACCCTATCTCAAAAAAAAAAAAATATATATATATATATCTGACCAATTCAAAGCGTTTATCTTTCTTTTGTTCACCCAAGAAACGAATAAATAAATCCACTTTGGAATGGAATTTTCATTTTATTTTATTTTCATTCAAAGCAAAACAAACAAACAAAACGCCTCTGAAATCTCTGACCCCCCATAATAGTTTACTCATAAAATCTGCATGTGTACGTCGATGCTTACCTCGTCCCATACATGGCATTGGTAATTTGGTGTCCTTCTTCTCTCTCTCTCTCTCTCTCATTTAATGCCTTTTTATACGATTCTTATGAGAGAAAAATATGGCAGAAAATAGTACCCTCCTAGGCTTTCTCTTTCTCTCTCTTTCCTTTTCAAGGTTTTTTCAGTTACTTGAATACAATCAAAATTCATCCCATTCTTTTCATATTATATATATATATATATATATAGATTTCACACCTCTGACCTCACCCCATATACCTCTCTTATAAATATACACCACCACCCTTGATCTGCTTTTTGTTTCCTATGCGTCCTTGGAATATCAAACAAAAGGAGGGGGAGATAGAGAGTTTCTTTAGTTTCTTTGATCCAAAGGAGAAAACCCGTTTGAGTTTTTGATCTGATATGTGGTAAAAGAAAAGGGTTTTTTTTTTTTTTTGTTCTTTTGAGGGGTTTCTGGTTGGTTGGTTGATTGAAGAAAAGGAGAGAATGGCCATACAAGCGCAGTTGTATTCAGATAATATTGGGTTTCCATTGTCCGGTTCTCAGGATTGGATTGAAAATGGTTGTGGCGGTGTTGGTGGGTTTAATCAATTTTGTTTCAGTCTTCAACAGAAATCGCAGCTACAACAATTGCAACAACAGCAACAGTTTCAGCAACTTCAAAATCAGCAGCCAAGGAATCAAAGTCTTTATTTTGACAACAGTCTTGTTCCCTCCCCTTTGAAGAACAACAACAACAGCAACAATCGTGAATCAATGATGTATTGCCAAAGCACGGTTTCTCAAGTTGAGAATCAAAGACATGAGATTGATCAATTTATCACATCACAGGTAGAGCAAACATAAAACAATCTTTATTTTGATTTCTGTTTAAAGATCCTTTCTTTAATTTTTTTTTTAAAAATTGGGTTGTTTATAATTTTTTGTTTACTTTCATTCAGAACGAGAGATTGAGGTTGTTACTGCAAGAACAAAGAAAGCAACAAGCTGCAGTCATGGTAAATAAAATTGAATCAAAGGCATCTCTTTTGCTTAGACAAAAGGATGAAGAGATAGCAAAAGCAACAAATAAAACAATGGAGCTACAAAATCTGTTGAAGAAACTTGAGATGGAGAACCAAGCATGGCAAATAGTGGCACAGGAAAATGAAGCAATGGTACTGTCTTTAAACAACGCGATTGAACAGCTAAGAGAGCGAGCTTCTTCTTGTTTTAACAATGGAGTAGATGATGCAGAATCATGCTGTGAAGTGAACAGAGAAGGAATGGAAACAGAGGAAAACAGAGGTTTTGCAGGGCTTGTTGCCGATCAAGGACAAGAACAAGACGAAGAAAGACCAAGAAAGATGATGACAATGGTTTGCAAATGCTGCAATTCTCGAAGTTCGTGCGTTTTGTTCCTTCCTTGCAGACATCTTTGTTCATGCAAGGATTGTGCAGCTTTTCTTGATTCTTGCCCCGTTTGTAGAACGGCAAAGAAAGCTTGTATAGAGGCCTTGATTTCTTAAGCAGTAGCAAAAAAAATTCCGGGTAAAGTGAGTAAAGAAAAAAAAAAAGGAACAAAACAGAAAATCTGATGATGACGGTGAACATAAACCCATGTGGATGTTAGATATTGGTCTCTATTTTTTCCCTCTTTTATTTTTGGCCTTTTTAGGTAGTCTGGGTTTAGATCGAAAACGTATTTAAACAAGGAAAAAAAACAATGAATTGAACAGAAATTTCAGGAATAGGACAGAGCATCTATTTTCCATTCCTGGAGTTATTGCCAGACCCTTTCAATAGGCAGCAGTGGTAGCATATGGAATGCAAGGTTGATTTGATTATTCAAATTGGTCTGATTTATGGCAATTATTTTTGGGTTTGGCAGTGACAAGAGAGAGATTGAATACTATGTCAGATTCACAACCCTACCCTCTGTGTCCCAGTGTACTGTTAACTCATTTGGAAAGCTAATTCCATTACATACACTCCTTCAGTCCTTCCTACCAGACAAGTCTTATTGGACTTTTTGGCTTTTTTCTTGATTCTCTATTTCGTTTAAAATGGAAATGAAAAAGCAAGCTTCTAAATTAAGAACTCAGAAAAGAAAAAGAAAAAAGAAAAAGGAAAAAAGCAAATTGCAAATTGCAAATTGTAACATCTTTAATCAGAAACAAACCAGATTTTCATGTTTTTATTGAAAATTGGCCTGACTAATAATCATGCTTGAAATCGTGACATGAACTTGCATCAAACAGTTAAAGCAGAAATAACTCGCTTATGGCTTTAACAAACATGGGATTCTAACCATGATAAAAGAATTTTTCGAACACTTTTACTAGTGAAGTAAACAAAATAAGCTAAAGATGATGCGCAGATGAAATATAGCTCTAAACAAATCTGAATTGCCTTTCTAACATCTTCCCTAATGCTAAAGAAGCTCCATGCATATCTTGATGCCGGTGGGTCAGATGGATCAATAGAGACTATATCCAAAAATTTGGCTTACTAGAATGGCAATACCAAGAGCAATTGCTACAAGGGAAGAAGCCCAAGTAAGTTTTTCAGTAATTCTGGGCACCCTATCCTTTAATGCTTGACTGCATGAGCCTATAAACACAGTATAGCTTCCCATTGCCACAACAGTTCCAAGCAAGAACATAATAAGGAATGCAGCACCAGCCAGGCGAGATGGCAAAGCAAGTGCTGGCAAAACCATCATCAGTGCATCTGGCTGCAACCCGTGGACGATCCCTGTGGCAAAAGTAGCAAAACCAATCTTCTTCTTCCCAACTGCTGGGTTTTCAAGTGTCTCATAAACACTAACATCACACTCATCATTTTCTAAGGCAACACAAGGGGCAGGAACTTCTGAAGCTTCCCTTATACCCATAGCCCCAATAACAAGCAATGTTAAGCCCACTACTCTTGTACCCCAAGTCCGGATAACTTCAATGTGGAGGCGGTCCTTTAGAAGTAGAAATAGTAATCCAAAGACAACCTGACCCGCATCATGGCCACAGCCCCAAAGAGCTCCAACAACAGCACTTTCCATTCGAGTACGGCCAATTGATAATGGTGCCAAAGCAGCAAGGTGGTCAGGGCCTGACAGGGTGTGCAAGCAACCAGAAAAGAAACCAGTCCATGCACTACTTAGTAATTCAGCACGGATTACTCTGCCCCCAACTGCTGCAGCAGCAGTTCCACTGGTTTTAGCAGCAGTTTGAAAGGTTGCAAAAGCTGCTGGTGCAAAAATTGGTTGAATTAAGAACATGATAATGACAGAGAGAGCAACAAACATCCCACCTGTGATTGCCTGAAACATTTTTAGAAAAGAAAAATGTTTGTACCATTTGTCAATAAAGAGGACTACACTATGTGTAATCTCCACAGAGAATTTTTTTCTTAATAAAACTGCAAACACTATGCTGACTGTGATATAATGCATAAAAAAGGTATACCACTGTCATGCAATGCATGGGATTACAAGAATATGCACAAAAAATGACATCTGTTCATAATTTATCCCACACTTTCTTTCACCTATCCAGATCTCAGAATCACATTAATCAGCAAGTGGAAAATTCAAAAATTCCAAATGCATGAGTTCTTTCAGTTCTACTTATTGTAAAAGGTTTCACATTCAGCCAATAACAATATCAGTAATTCAATGCTCACAACAATAAAACTTCAGTTAGGATTCCTCAAACAAGAGTCTTGAGTGTGAAAAAAGATGGTGAAAGTGTTTCCGTGACAAATAGAATTTGTTCATAGTATGATAAGCCTCCCCAGCAAATAACATAGATGACTCTTTTATAATCTTCCATATGCAAGTGACATGTGCAAGGCATGAACTCAACTTTTGTTCATCATGATGTTTGGCTAGACCTAATTCATTTAACAAGAAGTGTGAAAAAAATTGACTCTTCATTAAAGTTAGTTTCACCCCAACTTTTCCAATTTTCTACCATTACGTTTAACTGATTGGACCAAAATTCCAAATGTGTGCAGAAGCAATCATATTTAATTTGGAATTCATCTCTGTCTGCAGTAACTAGAATTAAAATCGAACTAATAGAAACTCAATATGCAGTTCCCTGGCAATTTCAAATTCGTCACGTTTTACATTGTTTAGTTAAGCATCAAACGATACAATATCATAAGCAAATTCAGATGGAATGATGATATTAATAAATAACTCTGCTAAATTCCTTGTTCCCCTTGCTCCATCGCCTAGATATCCCATGTCAACCATTAATTTTTAAGTAGAAAGCTTTAGAAATTAGAATTAAACACCAATAAAGTTTAGCCATTCTTAAGCTCAATTTGTGAAATCATGCTCTTCTTCTAAAGAATTTACGAGACAATTAAAGTAAACTTGAAACTAAAAAACCATACCTTCCTTTGCGCAGAAGCTCCAATTGCAATAGGCTTGAGGAAATTGGAACTTTGTGTTGGCCCATTTGCAGGGTCGACTCGGGGAGAACCGAGTGAAGGCAATTCATTGAATTGAGGATAAGAAAACTGAGGTGGGTTATCGGTTGTGCATGAAATTGAGATGACTCGCCTGAGTTTTGGTCGGGGGAGTGAAGGAAGGAAATTGAGTCTAGAAGAGTCGAATCGGCGGAGTCGAGAGAGAAAAAGAAAGGGCTTTCGAGAGATTTCCAAAGGGGTTGGAGAAGACGTGTATAGAAGCCTTTCCATGCCTTCCTTTGTTTATCTCTACCAAAGTCAAGGCTTTAAAAGGAAAAGACTTTTAGCACAGAGAATTGGGCAGTTCAAGATAAAGTCTTGACTGAAAATTGAAAATGGGGATTATATTGTCAGTATGAAATTTATTCTCTAATTAAATTATACTAAACCCTAGCTTTAGTCACTCGAAATTAAATCCTGTAAACCTTAGTGGAAGAGTAATAATGGCGAAATTGGTTTCTAAAAAAAAAGGAAGGAAAATGATGCATTGTACAATTTGTCCATGATTTGACTGCTTTCCTTGAACATATGGCCTCATTTGCGTCCACAACATCTGGTTAAGCAAAGCGTATCATTCACTTCTCGGATATTTTACACTTTGCATGTAAAGATTAATACAAGTATTAATTGTAAGAGAAAATTAGAGGAAATAAGGTTTGAACCATAAAAAGAAAGCAAATCTGAAATATGCTATTGTGGGAATTTGCAATTAAGAAGGGAAGAAAACGTAAAAAGGAGAGCAACATGAGGATGAGGTGGTTGTGCAATTAGGCCTGTGTTGGTGAAGTTGGCAGCATTTGTGGGACTTAGAGTTGGCCTAGATTTTGAATTTTAGACTTATTCAAAATAATAGGTTCAAAGAATTAGATATTATCAATTTCATTCATTGATATGATCATTTATGTATTTATATTATATTTTTATAAAAATTATATATCATAACTTATAATAATATAAAATATATATTTTTATTTTATTAAATATATATAATTACTATTAAAATTTAAAACCACCAACTTTCTATATTTTTTTCATATCATATTTTCTTAAACTGAAAAAGTGCTTGTGTTCCTTTGCTGAAGTCCGCAACTTGACACCTCAAGGGCCCCGTGTAGACCCAACCATGGCTCGTCCCCGGTCTTACACAGACACTCCTCACGCTAGCCCACGCCCGCCACAGGCACGCACCTGCCACTAGTATATTTTCTGTCAGGTCTACAGCCCAACGTCTCGCGTCGTAGTTCCTTTGTTCAATTCTCAAACCCAACTCGCATATACAAAATGGGCTGGTTTTTCAGTCTCATTGTTCTTCCTTCGGCTAACCTTGAACAATCCCATTTTGTTTTTGTCCACCAAAATAAAGGTTATTTCCGTCATTTGAGAAAAAGGATAGAGGTTCCTCATACGTGTCATCCATTAACAAAAGCCATGTCATCAATAATCTTGTACCACAAAACCAACGCTCCATCCCAAACTCACCTCAACCCTTAACTCGACCACCCTCTATCCCAAAGGATCAAAATCACATGTTCAACCAAACGACATTTTTATCTTGCTCACGTGATTATCACCAATAGTTAATGATTTAGAACGGTCAACAATCCTCTTGATTTATTATCTCTGATCTCTCCATTGAGGACCATTTAAACTTGTGTCCTTCACCATACCAAACCATTGCTATAAAAACCATAAACAGAGTAACCGAAATTTTAAAAGCTCTGTTTCTGCTCTGCTTTTGTTCAGCTACGGAAAGAGATATACTCTGTTTTTGACTAACTGGTTTCAATGGCAAAGCCAGTGTCAATTGAAGTGTGGAACCCCAATGGGAAATACAGAGTTGTTAGCACTAAGTCTATGCCTGGAACTCGCTGGATCTACCTCTTAATCGAGCAAGATTGCCGCGTCGAAGTAATCCTATTTATCTCTTCTCTAAATCCTCTGTTTCCTTTTGATTTTTTGGTAAAACATTTTTTTTTTTAATAAAATTTTGCTCTTTTTCTTCCAGATATGTACCGAGAAGAAAACAATTTTGTCCGTTGAGGATATCATTGCTTTAATTGGCCATAAGTGCGATGGGGTGATTGGACAGGTATTCTCTTCATGGGATTTTGGTTTTGGATTCTTTTTTGTTTCATTTTTGTGTTTTTGAGGTTTGGGATTTGTGTTATAGTTAACCGAAGACTGGGGGGAGACTTTGTTTGCGGCCTTAAGCAGAGCAGGAGGCACAGCTTTTAGTAACATGGCTGTTGGTTACAACAATGTTGATGTTAATGCCGCCAACAAGTATGGTGTTGCAGTTGGTAATACTCCTGTAAGTTCACTTTCCACATAGTTCCAGATAGCTCTATCCTTTCATCTTTATATTCTGTTTTCGAATAGTTTACTTTAATCATATCTGGGCATGTTTCCATAACCCTGATAATACGTTCATAGTCAGTGCATTGCAATTCTAAAACAATACATAACTATCTTGTCCATAGGAGTAATGGATGTTAATGTTTTATTTTGTGGAAAATGGTCACGAAGTTGGTTTAGTAATTTTGGGATAGAAATGTTGAGTTAACGTTTGTGCTAATTCGGTGTAGGGGGTACTCACAGAAACAACAGCGGAGCTAGCAGCTTCTCTTTCTTTAACAGCTGCTAGAAGAATCGTTGAAGCAGATGAGTTCATGAGGGCAGGCTTATATGACGGATGGCTCCCTCATCTGTATGCCCACCAAATATACCTTATCTTTCACCTTTGATGTGCATAGATGATACACTCCATATGTCACGTACATCGTGATTGTGCAATTCCACTTTTTTCTCTTGCAGGTTTGTGGGGAACTTACTTAAAGGACAGACGGTTGGTGTTATTGGAGCTGGTCGTATTGGATCTGCGTACGCCAGGATGATGGTAATCTCTTCCTAACTAAATTTCACATCAGATTTCATAAACCTAGGCTAGAATTTAGATAATTTTTTAAAAATAAGTTGGATACTAATGTGCTAGTTTGTATGAGCATTGAAGTTGAAAAATGTTTGCAACGCATTGAAATTAGTAGCCTTAAATATAAATAAAAATGATTATTTGGATTTGTGAGGTTCTGTTTGCCAATCTTATAACAGGTTGAAGGGTTCAAAATGAACTTAATTTACTATGATCTTTACCAAGCTACACGGCTAGAGAAGTTTGTCACAGGTATTTTGTGCAAGTTGATGAGTTGATGTCAAATCTTCTTTTATGATACTTGTATGTTTCCCCATTGCAGCTTATGGTGAGTTCTTGAAGGCCAGAGGAGAGCAACCTGTTTACTGGAAAAGAGCATCAACTATGGATGAGGTGCTTCGGGAGGCAGATGTGGTAGGATTTTATTTGCTGAGAACTTTTAATGTTGTTTTTAAAGCAAAGTTTGAACCATGTTGGCTAATAAGAGCGATTGCTACTAATGCTTTTTGTAGATAAGTCTCCACCCGATCTTGGATAAAACCACCTATCATCTGATTAACAAAGAAAGGCTTGCAACAATGAAGAAGGTGAACTTCTCTGTTGTACTTGACAATTAACTTTGAAAGTATGCATCGCTCAAGGAAATATGAATTGGATTTTATTTTTTGCAGGAGGCTATCCTTGTGAACTGTAGCAGGGGCCCAGTGGTAGATGAAGTAGCTCTTGTTGAGCACCTGAAGCAAAATCCTATGTTTCGAGTTGGTCTTGATGTCTTTGAGGTGTCTTGACAAACCTTTTAATCTCAAATTCAATCAACCACATGAAAACCACCCTCAAGCTAGTACATGACTGTTCATTAATGATGTTGCCTTAGGATGAACCTTTCATGAAACCTGGGCTTGCTGAGATGAAGAATGCTGTCATCGTACCACACATTGCTTCTGCTTCCAAGGTAATGTTTGCTAGTATTCACCTATCAGGTTGGAGTCACCTATCGGCTATCAGATTGTAATTGTTTTGTCATGCTTAAGCAGTGGACTCGCGAGGGAATGGCAAAGTTAGCTGCTCTAAATGTCTTGGTAACAAACTGCTTCACACTTTCTCTTAAGTTTAAATCTGATTGCCATTTATTAAGGAAAAAGATAGAACTTATTAGAATCTGTTTATTCTTCTTTCGGTCTCTAAGCATTGCCACGATTTCTCCATCTGCATTACAGGGCAAGATCAAAGGGTATCCAATTTGGGGTGACCCAAATCGAGTAGAACCATTCTTGAACGAGAATGCTCCACCTCCTGCTGCATGTCCAAGCATTGTCAATGCGAAAGCATTAGGTAATAATATTCAGATTTCAGACATTATCACTCTTTTTTCTCAAAATTTGCAGCGGCCAGGAAGTGTGAGTCCATGACTTCATCTTCATCGATCAAATCATGTTTTCTTGTCTCAGGTTTGCCTGTTTCCAAGCTATAAGCACCGGACGGTCCCCGTGATGGTGCAAGTAGTGTGTTCTAGTGAATGTGAAGCATGGGGCTGTAGTAAGACTATGTTATTTAGCCTGCAATGGCAATTACCATGTATATTTTGCCTATGAAGAGTACTCCTTTTATGTGCTGCATTTTGCTGTCTTATAATTTGTAAAGAACAGCTTTACAATTTCCTCAAATATAAATGACTTTGCACTCATGGATTGATCACCTATTTGAACAATAGCATTGACCATCCAACAATTTCTCTACCTTGACCATTTTCTTCTGTTTTTTTCACTCCAAAAAGTGGCACAATCCATGCCCTAAATCATTAATGGCTACGCTTTGGTGAAACTTGAAACCCCTTTTTATGCTTTGTTTTAGTTTTAGGGAACTAGAAAATATAGTAATTGTCAAATTAATTCTTAAATAAAAAATAAAAATTATATTAAATGATTAATAAATGTTAGAGGATCTTTGTGAGTTGTGATATCAAATTTTGATTTTGAACCCAAACACAAAGTAGATTTGAATTAAAAAAAAAAAAAAAAAATACTGGCTGGAGGTAGTTACAAAAGTAAAAGTAAAAAAAGGGTAAAAAAAATTCGTCGAAGTGGGTTTGCCCTCGAAAACATAAAAACGACACCGTATAGTTGTACCCTAAATCCTTCTAGAAACGTCATTTTTTGTTATCCCTTCTTGGATTAGGGTTTCTGCCGCTGGTGGTGAAAGAATCGTAAAAGAAAACAATGGCTTCAACTTCGAAGAAGATAATGTTGAAGAGCTCCGACGGAGAGACTTTCGAGGTGGAGGAAGCGGTGGCGGTTGAATCGCAGACGATCAAGCACATGATCGAAGACGATTGCGCTGACAACGAAATCCCTCTCCCTAACGTCAACAGCAAGATCTTATCCAAGGTTCTTGAGTACTGCAAGAAGCGCGTCGATGCCGCCGCCGACAAGGAAAAGAACCCCGATGATGAACTCAATGCTTGGAATGCTGATTTTGTCAAGGTTGACCAAAAAACCCTCTTTGACGTCATCCTGGTTAGTTTCCCCTCTTTTGCCCCTTCGTTTCACTTCCAACTTACAATTCTGACTCTTATTGATGACTTTGTTTGGGTTTCTTTTGGTGGGTTCTTTGCAGGCTGCGAACTATTTGAATATCAAGAGCTTATTGGACTTGACATGCCAAACCGTTGCTGACATTATCAAGGGGAAGACACCGGAGGAGATCCGCAAGACCTTCAACATCAGGAATGATTTCACCCCAGAGGAAGAAGAGGAGGTTCGGAGGGAGAACCAGTGGGCATTCGAGTGATAGGGAAGCGTTTAAGTCAAAATGTTGATATATATGATAGGAATGTCGATATTATCATGCGCTTCTGCTGCTTTCTTTGGAGACATTGGCCTTTCGTTTGGTTGTTTTGATATCTGCTCTGGTCTATGTTTGTAGAGGATTTAACATGAACCTTTCCCCTTATTATCATCGTATATTGAAATTTCGTATTTCCATTGTCTTTGGTCACTACCTTTTTTACTCTTTCTGTTGCATGATTTAGACCAGTTGACTTGTTGAAGACTTGGTAACTGAACTTGTGATTGAAACAACTTTGGTTTAATGCTGCGTTTAAGTTACGGAATCCCATCTTTGCATCAAAACTATAATTTAGTATGTTTAGGTCATGTTTGGAGCATAGGATGATGGATAGGATAGGATGATAATCATTCTATATTATGTTTGGTTCATATCTTAAAAAAGGGATATGATTGCGAGAAGGATTAATCATCCTCTTGGTATAGGATGATTCAATCTTCCCCAAGTGGAAAAGATTATTTTTAATCCATAAGATTAAACTTACATGTCTTATTATATCCTTAAAAATTACATGAATAATTTAAGTTGTATAAATTTTGAGGAAAGATAATTTTGACCAATAAATGAATTATCCTATCCTAATTCTTACACACATTAAACACAAGATAGGATGACATTATTTAGTCTAATCCTGTTCATAATATCATCTTATCTTAGCCTATCATAATCTTGTATACCAAACAAATCCTTAATTTCATTAAAGAAGATTAGTTACCATGATTGCTTGTTTGTAATGCCAATTACCATATTTAGAAGAAATAGTGTTAGATGATTAATGGGAATTAACTAAATGATTATTGCCTTAAAAGTCTTGATTCTTGATATCTAGTTTTCCTTTTTCTTTTGGTTTTACTTGGAGAAGGGGATATGTATCTTTATTATTGAACCAAATGCATACTTAGGTGCTTGTTGACATGAGGTTCAAGACACAGAATCCCTGGCTGGAGTCTTTTATGAATTCATGTTAAGTTTAGTTGATTCATCTTATTTCTTTTAAGAGCCAAGACTCTTTTATGAATTTGGGTTTAGCAAGTCGGTTCATGTTATTCCTTTAAGAGGCAGCTTTCAACAAGTTTGTTGTTCAAATTGTAGCATTGTAACTTTTTCTATGCATATCATGAGATTGCAGTTTCCCTCATTGAAAAAATTACCTCTTTTTTCTTCTAAAAGAAACAGGGGTAATGGCCTCCTTTCTGAAAATAAACCACCTCAGTGAAGACTCATAGAAGTCATATTGTTATGCTACCATTTTATGGAGATCCAGCTTTTGCTTGGATAGGCCTTTTAGTGGTTAGTTCCTGAATTTAGAAACAACCTCCCTCGGGCATGTGCTCAAATTTCAGAGTACTACATGTTCCAAAAGCAAAGGCTCTAAAATAAATGGTGGATGGATCAAACTTTTTCTCCCTCACGTACAAATTTACATTGTTTCTCTAAAGGATTATCCACATTAAATTGTCGTTCCTGGGATCCATTGGTTGAATTTATGATGTTTTAAACATCTGTAATGAAATTGGTGCAAGTGTATAGACTGCATTATTTTCAGATTTATCAAGTAATTTTCAGTTATCATTTCCAAGCTCAGCCTTTTGAAAAACATTCAGAGACTGAGAGCCCAAAATTAGACTTTTGTCCAATGAATGTTAATAATACCACCATGATAGATGATACGAGTGATAAACTGAAAAGGTACTTGTGAAAATATAAAAGCCTAAGCACCAAAAGAATCCCAGGAAATCAAGTCATCAAAACCTAAAGTCAATATATGAAATATACAGGAAAGCCTATGCAACAAAGTCGTGCAAACAAGATCGATAAAGCTCAGATGATACTTTTGCAGCACAAAGTTTCGCTGTAAGATCAGTTTTCTCTTCCTCGTACCTGCGGCATTTATCTTCAAGCTCCTGAACAAACCTCTTGTAGCGTTCTGCAAATGAAGATTCATTCTAAAGCTTTGAAGAGAGAGTGAAATGATCCTCCATTAACTTGATATTTTTTCTTCGTATTCTTCAAAACAGTCTTTGTAATATTGACTGTTGTCTTCTGAAAAATTGTACCAGGCTTGGTAAGATTCAGCTAATGACGTTGCAGCAACAAGCTTAGAAGATAGAGTATCTCTTTCAACCGTCAGCTCGTTGAGGGTGTGTTGGTACCAGAAATGTTGCTCAATTGACTGCGTCGCCAGTTGCTGGCAACGTTCAGCATATGTTTTTACGAGAGTTTGGCAGTACTGAACGTTTTCATCAGCGTGACTAATGGTTGCATTCAAAACATTTTTTTGCTCATCCCATTTCTGGCGCTCTTCAGCAAAACCTTTTTCGATGACTGTGTAGTTCTCAAGAGACTGTGTAGCAACATCAAGCATTTCAGCAAGGTCTTTATTTTCCTCGTTCCATTTAAGGCGCTGTTGTTCAAAAGACCAAGTCACAGCATCCAGCTTTGTTCGGAGATATTCCTTTTCCTCATCCCACTTGAGGCGCTCTTCTGCAAACTCTTTTTACATGACTTGGTAACGCTCTAAGATCTTATTGGCAGAGTCAAGTTTTGCATTGAGGTTTGAGCTCTCCATACCCCACTTGCTTTCAAGTTCTATAAACATCTTTCTTTGTCTTTCCATACCTTGTAGCAGTTCATCGGTTTTAGTACCTTCCAGTCTTAAACTTTTTCTTTAGCTTGTAGTAATTTTCCTCATAGTGCTTCCAAAATTTAGTTGCAACCTCAAGTTTCTCAGTCAACTCCTTTTTTCTCGCTCAAGAGAATTTCCTACATATTCATGCAATTGATCTTGGAAGAACTCGATAGGCAAAATTGAAGCACAAGACTTTCTACTCAGATTGTTTTGCTCTTCTTCCCAACTGCTTTAATTGCTGTTGTAGTTGCTTGTAGCCTCCTCTTTCTGTTCTGCTTCTTCCGCTTCACCTGTTTTCTTTTGATCAGAAGATGCAATTGCAGCATCGAGCTTTTCACCGAGTATGTTCTGCACTTCTTCCCAACTGCTGTCATCATCACTTTTATAGTTGCCTATGGCCTGTTGTTCATCTTTTGCTTCCTCAACTTTATCTGTTTTCTTTTGATCGAAAGAAGATTCACTTGCATAAAAGAGCTTTTCACTAAGATCATTTTGTACGTTTTCCCAACTGTGGTTATCACCTTCAAGGTCACTCACACCTTCCGCTTTATCTTTTGCTTCCTTCACTTCACCTGCCATTGCAATAACTTCATTTTGATCATCCTCCTCTATCTTTAACTCCTTGCTTTCAGAACTATTCTTACTATTTTCCTGCAGTTCATCTTCTTCTCTCTTCAGTCGTTCATTGCATGCAACTTTCTCTTCCTTCAGATCATCCTCTATTTTCTCGAATTCATCTGTCACTCTAACTACACTCTGAATATCCTCCTCTGTCTTTATGTTTTTGTTATTTCCCTGCAGTTCCTGAAGTCCATCTTCCGCTGTCTAGAGCTCTTCTCCACGGGCCGCAACTTCCTCTTTCACACATAAACGTGATTGTAATATGGAATCACACTCTGATAAAGCATTGTTCAACCACTTAGTTAATCCTGTAGGACCTTGCACGGAGTTTCTGGTCTTAGCTTTAACCTCAGATTCCTCTTTCATGGCCTCATCTGCAACCATAACTTCCTCTTTCTTCACTTTTCCATCCTTGGTAAGTTCCTAGACAACATTATTTTCGGTATTAGAAATTTGGGTAGTTTCCAATAGAAGTTAGACCGCGATTTAAGTTTATGCCAAAAGCCTAAATCTTTGAATTAAGCCATTGCATCCACATATATATGAAATCAAATTGAATCTTTCTACGTACTTCCAATTAACTAAATTATACATGGCAATTGGCAAACAAGAAGCGAGAGAATGCAACATGAAAGAAAAAGGAAACTCAAACATTATTAAGGAAAAAAGGGGGAATAATTAAAGCACTCACCACCATGGCAATGGAGGTGTTGGTTTCAAAAGTAGTTCTATTCATCCGTAAAGCTTCATCGTTTTCTCCATTCGAGGAATCCCAACACGACAAGTAATCAAGAAGCCACTCACGGTTATTGGTAATAGAATTCAGTGCAGCTCCAAGGCTTCCTCCCATGTTAGCTTCCTGCAATCCTCGCACTTCCTGGTTAAACTCAACTTTTTTTTTCAGCGACCCGTCCTTGATTATGACCATTTCCATCATCTTTTCCTGATGATCACCCTTTCTAGTTTCCTTGAAACCATTAATCACAAACTTGAAGTTCAAAAAATTTTCAATTTCTGAAAAAACAAAAAAAAAAAACACACACACACACACACACATGCGTTTAAGCACTTAAGTTTAAGCAATACTTACTTTTGCATTAACGGTACCGTTGGTTTCAGACGAAAGCCAGCTTTTGGTGGGCAACTTTTTGTCTAACTCTCGAATATTGCAGTAACGATTAATCATAAGAGAATTTGTCAATATCAAGACGACCAAGCTAATGAATGCTCCATAAGCACGTCCACCAGGAAAAACATAATGCAACATCAAAAGCAAAATCGCCGGTCGCTCAATGTAAAATATTGCTTCAGGTTCCTATATAAAAAACAAACAAAATATTAAAACAAAACCCAAATTAAAACAATAATATTATAAAAGAGAACGAATATGAAATCATTAAAGCTAGTAGTAAAAGTATCAATCAAATGAAAACACTAAAAATATTAGTGCTTACCAAAAAGAAAGGGCGGATGAATTGTCGTTCAACGAAGACAACAATGTCAATAGTGTTGGTGACGAGAAGCAGCAGAGCAGTGGAAGACAGGAGATATTGGGGACCCGGAAACATAACTTGAGTCAAAATAGCTACCCGTTCGAGCCAGAACATGCAACTCTCCATCCTATGAATGTCTTCAATTTTTATCGTACTCATCAGCGGCTTGTCTTTCGCCATTGTTTTAACACCTCCCCGATAAGCTGAAATAAATAAATAAATAAATAAAAAGAGTTAGAGTTTAGGGTTTTGTGCCAATATACGGTAGTGTTATGATATGAATAAGAAGTATACTTGGGACGAAACAGTTGTTATTGAGTAGAAATAGGAAAGGAAATATCCATGATTGTTCCAATCATATCCGATCACTTAAAGATTAAGAGCCCGTTGTTTGGTGAAAAGGTGACTCAAATCAAGATAAAAATTTTTTTTTTCTACTTTTTAAAAAGGGGTTATTTAATTCTACTTAAATCATGAAAAAAAAAAAAAAAAAGGTAAATGCCAAAGATTTTGGTGAGTTGTCCTACTTACAATGATAAA